AATCAATTTCTAGTGGACTAACCAACTGATATCAATGATAGAAATGCTTACCCTGCAGGTTCCAAAATGTTAAACAATGAATTACGCTATATAGTCACAGCTTCCAGTCATTATAAAACAGTATTGGTATTGAGAGTTTGGCTTTTTAAAAAAAGGCTGGAAGAGTCACTTATACTCTCGTAAGTAAATAGATATTCTTGGTGTGAACAGAGAAACAAAGAAGCTATGACAAACAACGGAAACTAATTTGGGGGATGTTATTTCACATAATTCAAAGCTTGTAGAACATTTATTTTTGTTCCTAGTTTATTCCTCAAACCATAACTTTCGTTTGATGTATGGCTTAATACCATACGCTTTTTTGTTCCGAAGTTATTGTAATTTGAACGTAACCTTTGCTACTCTATTTTTCTACCCTAATCCCCAGTTTTGGACATAATTGTATTTTCTTAATTTAAAGCAATTAGTCCCTTTGATAAATTTCAGAACATACTTACTTAATTACTTACGCTTGTTACTCCTAATGAAGCATAGGCCGCCGACCAGCATTCTCCAACTCACTCTGTCCTGGGCCTTCTTTTCTAGTTCCATCCAATTCTTGTTCATTTTTCTCATGTCTATCTCCATTTCCCGGCGTAATGTGTTCTTTGGTCTTCCTCTTCTCCTTTGGCCTTGAGGATTCCATGTGAGGGCTTGTCTTGTGACGCAGTTGGGTGCTTTCCTCAATGTGTGTCCTATCCACTTCCAGCGCTTCTTCCTGATTTCTTCCTCCACTGGGATCTGGTTTGTTCTCTCCCACAGTTGGTTGTTGCTAATAGTGTCCGGCCAATGGATCTGAAGTATTTTGCGTAGACAACTGTTAATAAACACCTGTATTTTCTGGATGATGGCTTTCGTAGTTCTCCAGGTTTCTGCCCCATACAGTAGAACTGTCTTGACATTTGTATTGAAAATCCTGACCTTGGTGTTGGTTGACAGTTGCTTTGAGTTCCAGATGTTCCTCAGTTGTAAATATGCTGCTCTTGCTTTGCCGATCCGCGCCTTCACATCTGCATCAGATCCACCCTGTTCATCAATGATGCTGCCCAAATATGTAAAGGTTTTTACATCTTCCAAATCTTCTCCGTCAATTGTGATTGGATTGGTGCATTCTGTGTTGTATCGGAGAATCCTGCTTTTCCCTTTGTGTATATTGAGACCTACTGCTGCTGAGGCTGCTGCCACACTGTTCGTCTTCTCCTGCATCTGTTGTTGCGTTTGGGATAGAAGGGCCAGATCATCTGCGAAGTCTAGATCGTCCAACTGCATCCTAGATGTCCATTGTATCCCGTGCTTCCCTTCAGACGTTGACGTCTTCATGATCCAGTCGATCACCAGGAGAAAGAGAAAGGGTGAGAGTAAGCAACCTTGCCTAACACCGGTCTTCACTTCGAACGACTTTGTCAACTGTCCTCCATGCACGATTTTGCAGTGTAATCCATCATAGGAATTCTGTATGATATTGACTATCTTCTGAGGCACGCCGTAGTGTCGAAGAAGTTTCCATAGTGTTGTTCTGTCCACGCTATCAAATGCCTTTTCGTAGTCAATGAAGTTGATGTAGAGTGATGAATTCCATTCAATTGATTGTTCCACAATGATCCGTAGAGTTGCGATTTGGTCTGTACACGATCTATCCTTACGGAATCCTGCCTGTTGGTCACGAAGTTGGGCGTCTACGCAGTCCTTCATCCTGTTTAACAATACCCTGTTGAAGACTTTTCCCGGTATTGAGAGAAGAGTGATGCCCCTGTAGTTATCACACTTGCTGAGATCGCCTTTCTTCGGTATTTTGATCAGAAGTCCTTCTTTCCAGTCTGTTGGTACTTGTTCCTCATCCCAAATCTTATTGAAGAGAATGTGGAGTATCCTTGCAGTTGCCGCTACGTCTGCTTTTAGTGCCTCTGCTGGAATGTTGTCCGGTCCTGCTGCTTTGCCACTCTTGATTTGTCTGATGGCCATGCTGATTTCTTCAATTGTTGGTGGGCCAACATTGATTGGGAGGTCCGTGGGTGCTGCTTCGATGTTGGGTGGGTTCAGTGGAGCTGGTCGATTCAAGAGTTCTTTGAAGTGTTCTACCCACCTGTTTTGTTGCTCTTCAATGTTGGTGATTACCTCGCCTTCCTTGCTTTTCACTGGTCGTTCTGGTTTGCGGCGATTTCCAGAGAGTTTCTTTGTCGTGTCATACAGTTGTCTCATGTTTCCTTCTCTTGCAGCCTTTTCCGCCGTCGTTGCTAAATCTTCCACATATTTACGTTTGTCGGTTCTGATGCTCCTCTTCACTTGTTTGTTTACTTCTGTGTATTCAGCTTGTGCCTTGGCTTTTTCTGCTCTTGTTCGACTGGTATTGATTGCTGCCTTCTTGTTCCTCCTTTCTTGAATCTTATCCAGTGTATCAACAGTGATCCATTCCTTGTGATGGTGCTTCTTGTGACCCAGGACCTCATGACATGTTGAAGTGATTGCCTCTTTGATCCCCTTCCAGTTGCTCTCCACAGTAGTTCCTTCTCCATTGAGTAGATCATGAAAGGCCTGGAACTTGTTGCTGAGGACTATCTTGAATTTGTTGAGTTTGTTAGTATCCTGAAGAAAGGCCGTATTGAACTTTTGTGATATTGTCCGCCCCGTTGTCCAGTGCTTCTTGAGTTTCAATTTCATCTTGGCGACCAGCAAGTGATGATCTGATGCTATATCAGCTCCTCTCTTGGTTCTCACGTCCTCTATAGTCCTCCTGAACGTTTTGTTGATGCAAATATGGTCGATTTGGTTTTGCGTGGTGTGATCCGGTGAAGTCCATGTGGTTTTGTGTATGCGTTTATGTGGGAATATGGTGCCGCCTATGACCAGTTTATTGAAGGCACATAGGTTTGCAAATCTCTCACCATTTTCGTTCCTTTCTCCCAGTCCGTGTCGTCCCATGATGTCTTCATATCCAGTGTTGTCCGTTCCAACCTTGGCGTTGAAATCTCCCATCAGAATGGTCAGGTCCTTTGTTGGGCACTTCTCGACGATTGACTGCAGCCTATTGTAGAATTGATCTTTAGCGTCTTCATTGTAGTCGTTGGTAGGCGCATAGCATTGGATGATGTTCATTGAAATGCCCTCTTTCTTTGTTTTGAACGAGGCTTTGATGATCCTTGGTCCATGAGATTCCCATCCTATAAGCGCATTTTGCGCTTGTTTGGACAGCATCAATGCAACTCCTTGTGTATGTGGTGCATTTTCTTCTTCATGGCCGGAGTATAACAGGAGCTCTCCTGTAGTTAGTCGTTGTTGTCCAACTTGTGTCCAATGTGTTTCACTGATCCCAAGTACCTCTAGGTTGTATCTTCTCATTTCTGCAGCAATTTGGAAGGCTCGCCCGGTGTCCCACATTGTACGAACATTCCATGTACCTAAATAAATGGTCGCTCTGGTTGTCAGAAGGGGCATCGGCCTCGTAACTTCCGAAGGAATTCGGCTTTCATCATGAGGCGTCATAATTCTTCTAAATGAAGACCTTCTGACTCCCAGGGCAGAGTTTAAAAGGTTTGAATAATTTTTTCTGGTTAGCGTTTTTTTAGCGAGTTAGTTTTCTACGGGATGGGGACGCTAACCCCATGCCGAACCCTCCTCCTTTATCCGGGCTTGGGACCGGCAGTAGCCTCCGGAGGGACTCCAGGTGGAGTTTTCAGAACATAGTTCTGATAATCTTCGTCTTCTTATTACATTATCGAAATTTTCTTAATTGTTTGTGCGTTGTGGTCACGTGTCATTTAATTATTCATGTATATTTTTACACCAATCTGAATCGGAACCAGATCGGAGTGTGAATCGGAATTGTGAATAAGTTGAGTAGTGTTCCAGTTGACTCGTCTTCTCTCTCAAGAGCTTGTCAACCAATGAGGTGACAGAAGAGTTTTCGTCTCTCTACCCAAGGCAGTTAGTCTCACTTCGAGCCCATACAGGTTAAACCCGTTAGCCTACCGTTCAAGAACTTAATCTAAATCGATACAAGTTATCTTCTGTATATTATCGGATAGACATATCAAGGACGTAAGAGTTCAGTGTAGAAAGAAATGTATAAAACGTTTACCTCAGTTTATGCCGTACTTTTTCCCACCAGACTGAAACATTTGTGGTATTTGTGTGTTGAACTTTGATGATTCACTTTTTAGGATTGAAGCATGTTGTGAAACTGGATGTAAATTCGCTTTTTTAAAGGATAAACTGATGCATTAGAAGAAAAGTGGTTTTCCCTTAAGAGAATAATTTACTGCTCTAGTATGTTATTTTCATCTTCAGACAATAAATAGTAACAGAAACGGTTGATTCAACTAAATGATCACCTAATAACATTAAAAATTAGTTCTCTGTCAACTTGTTATTTCAACCTCAAGGTTTTTAATTCTTGATATCTAAAGTCATATAAACGTCAGAAATCAGTCAGTTTAATCATCAATTAAATGTAATATCAATTGATAAGTATTCTCGTGAAAATTTATTAAACAGAAGTACAGCAATTTCATTCAACACTGTTTTAATCGTGTTTTTTTAGACGTAGACTGTATAGTTCAACTTACAGTTTATAGTTTCCTTTATTTGATAATGAAACGTGATTAGTTGAGTTTGAATATTTATTTTAAGAAAGCATACATTTCTTATAAGAAAGAATCATTGACTATGCAAATGGGTAACAATATCAAATAAATTCTTCCTAATTGCATTTATACAAAATCATTTTGTTGGTAAAAATTTGTTTCTGGGGTTAGTGTTGTGAGTTTATGTCCGGCTTTTTACCACGTGATCTATCCACCAATCAAAATACGACTTATACAATCTTAGCACTGTGCCGAACCAATGACTTTCGACCGGTATAAGCAGCATAGCGTCCTTATTGGTCCTATTTCCGCCTAGCCCGTCCACTTGAGTCCAGAACACCAATACCAGCTTCCAATATGCGAATCGAATCGAATCAAATAGAATCGGATCGAATCATTTATTTCAGACATACTGGGTTTATATATCAAACAAACAGACTGCAACACACCATAAAATAGGAAATAACATTTGTATACAATAAAGCCAAAAAGTCAGTGTGAACGTGGGAGGCAGTAGTCGATAAACTGAACATAGCTTAAGAACAGTAAATCATACAATAATAAATTATAGATCAAAATCAAGCTTATAATAAGAGGAATATAAATATACATAACCTAGTTATTGAATAGTTATACCATAAGAATGTATAGATCATATTAGTCAATTAATATGTCTCAGAAGTTACTCGTGATTTAATCTTCGCTCGTATATAACAAGTAGAGTTTATTGAAATGTAAAAAAATATAATTCTAATACACTAATTTGAAATTTTGGTTTGTTCATTATATATATTCTCTGAAGTGTTTTCCATCTGACTAATATTCATGTTTTTATTGGTTAATCCATATAAAAACCTATCAAAATGTTCACAGAAAAATAAAACACATTTTTTCTCAGGATATTCGTCGAAAATCATGAAGACTTCATTGAAATTCTTGATGAATTATTCAAAAAACGTTTGATGAAAACATATTTTTAGTTTAATTTTTTCAAAAGTATAAGAAATAAGTGGATAAGGTGATGGCGTTTGAAGCGAACAGTACTGAGTTCGAGTCCCAGAGTGAACATCAACTCTGAGATGCAGGTACATCCAGCTGACGAGTCCCAAACAGGACGAAACGCGCGTCCTGGATTCCACTGCTAGCCACTATCCATCTTTGCTTATAGTATAAGAAATAGTTTGGAATAAAGAAACTAAATACCTGCGTTAGTATTTTACTTTGTATATCGGTATCATGAATTAGAAAACTTACCTATTTATTGAACATTAAAGTAAATCAGTTTTGGTTTAAATCAGTTACCTATAAATTTGAATATTTGATGTAAAATGTATATCAGTGTTGCTAAGGTTACAATATAACACTGATTCACGGTCATTGTAAACCTTTTATTTAGAAAAAATAATCATTATGTACAGTTAATAATCGTACACCTAGGTGTTAAAACGACATTTCACAAGATATTTATATGAAATTACAATGATTATATGATTATCAGTTTAGTGGTTGTGAAGATTGTTAAGTTTTTTATTCAGATCATGAACCGATTGATGTAAGACCATCATTAAGTGTTCGCGCACGAGACGGAAGGCCCTGGGTTTGAATCCCATGAATGTGCACTGCTGAGGAGCCCCACAATGGGACAAAACGGCCGTCCAGTGCTACCAGGTTTTCAATGGTGGTCTAACATCAGTCGGTTTATGATCTCAATCAAAAAGATTATAAAACTGATTGCCTACTTGATCATACAACATTTTAGAAAACAACTTTACGGTAAAACAAAGATAACTTGTTCAATTTGTGATTACAAGAATTATACAGTAAAACTTAATACATTATAATCAGGGATGGATGGTGGCTAGTAATGGAATCCTGATTAAGAAAAAAGCTTACGAAATCATTTAATGAATCATGTAGTCGATATAAAATAATGAACTTTGAGTGTAATGTTTACTTTAACTTTGAAAATAAATGTTGACTGTTCTGTTAGCATCAAAGTGAACAACAAAGACGGAAGATTACTTCAATTAATAAAAATCAATTAAATGATCATAATTTAAATATATTTATTGTGTATAGCATACTGTGTTTTTCGTAAAGCTATTAAAACTTTCTGTAACTCAGACGTTAACATTATATCATCAGCCTTAAAGCAGTACCACTCACCATCTAAGTAAATTTATTATGTATTCCTTTATTAGTCATTCCGTTCTCAAGAGTTTAACAAGATATTAAGGTAAATATAAGAAATGAGCTAAAGATCATTGTCTAAATGGTTGAAGCTAACTAATTTAAGATTTCTAGGATGACCCTAGTTCGAAATCTTTCATTTGTAAACAAAAACACGTTTAGTATTTACAACAATAAGAACTGTAACAAAGGAAATTACTAGTTTAACTTGTTTAATTACTAATTAATTTATTAATTAAGGGATCAAATTAAACTTATATTAGTTATCTTCATATTGTTTGGATGTGAAGTGGCAACTTACATTCACCGAAATTAACATTAATCTATGCTTCTATTCTCTAAATCAATAGCTTAATGGTTTCACACTCGGCTTGTTAGTGAAGTTATTTAATGTCAAACAATCAGCTCTATATTTTTGACAAACCTTAATGAAATATATTTCAATGTTCTTTTTGTTGTCTGAAAAAAGTAGGAACCTTATTTTGTTTGAAATTACTTTGTTTTTTTCTCTTCTATTGATGAAAATCGAACGATTGTAAGGTATTTCACAGTGAAAACATCAATTCGTTAGTTAAATAAGAAGTAGATTGTAATGTCAAACTTCAGTGTTGACATCTATTGTCTTTTCAGAAAAATAATATGCTTTTGTTACATTTATGTACTGATTCTTTGATAAGAAGATAAGAATTTGTAAACGGTTACCTTTAGTTAGTTTATGGACAGTATAATCAATGTTCACAAACTATGTGAAAATATGTATTTAAATTGCATTAATTCTATACGTATCTGTTTGCTTATCAGTGTACTTTGAAATACATCAGATAGATCTTATTGGACAGTACACAATTTTCTACTTGATTTCTTCTTAGGCTTACAAACTGTTAACTTGTGGAATTTCTCTTGTATATAGAAAAATTGAAAATAATAATGACCACAATGCTGATATTATAAACTTACTTTGTTAAACACCAATCAGAATTCAGTCTCATTCCATCTAAGTTCATATAATTAAAATGATTTCTGAAATAACTTATTTATCAAGTACACATCTATGCATCCGGCTTTGATCAGTGAGTTACACGTGAAATCTAGTGTTAGGGATTGATTAACAGAGTCTTTTTCGAAAGAAATGGGTTGAACTCAAAACATTGGCTTCCGTAAATTAGATGTCCATTTGGATAGATAAATAACAGCCAATATAATTTAACGTACTTTTTAAAAAAAGTGTCACATAACATATATCTAATGCTTGTTATATTTTTCGGTAAAGTACTTGAATGGTTATTGTTCATTTTAAATTTAATTTGAATGGGTGGTTTTTTAAAGTTTACACGTTTAACAATGTGTTGAACGAGAAGTTTATCTGTAGTAATCTAATAATTTCATTTTTAGTATCCATATTTATAAGGATTACATCATATTCTACTACGTTCCTATGTAATTCTTTTTGAATTTATTTCAGTAATTTTACTGTTGGATACTATGTATAGATAAACTTCACAAATATTTTATTTAGAGAGATTTTTTTATATCAAGTCGTTGACTGTCGATGAGTATTAAGCGATCTTCATGGTATTTATCCTTTAAATATAGAAATTATTTTCAGTTTATTATTATTAATTCAAAAAATAAATAAATCTGAAATCCTGTTTAATCACTAAGTAAATCGTTAATTTATTTATAGTCTATCTTTTTTACAGTAATGAACATGGTCATTTATTATATCTTGTAAAACCTCAAACTCTAATCCTGTTTAGGATTTTATCAGTCCTTTTTGTTTATCAGTTAGTGTGATGCAATGATAAGATCATTGATTTAATTCCCAAAACAAAGTTCATGCAGATGGACCAAACATTCTGAAAGTAATAAGGTTTATTTGACTTAATCGACACTTTCATAGTTTGTACAATGATTTCAACCATCAAATAAATATTAGAAATAAGTTGTAAATGTTCCTGTTATCTAGATAAGGTGAACCATTACTAACAACAATCAGTAAGTAGTTATGTTCAATTTGTTAAATTTGTTTTGTGTTATCTCCAATATTAAGCAGATTGAACCCATAATTCTTAGATAATTTTATTACATTTAAAGTTTTCCTTGAGAACCTTTACTTTTGTGAAGTATTTTCTCTGAGATTCTTTTATGTATTAGAAATGCTGAAGAAAAAAGATTTTAAAAATAAATAAATCAGTAATTGGTATTGATTGAATTAAATCTACATAAATAACATACCCGGTTGTTATCAGTGCAATAATTATCAAACTGGAACAGACCAAGAATACTGCACCCGGGAATAGATGAGTTGTTGAAGAATAGATTGAAATTAATACAGAAAAACAAGTAAGTACGCCCAATCGTGATACAAACGCCACAAATGAATGCATCATACCTGTTAAAATGAAAAGAAAAACACAGAAGTAGTTGAGCAATGGAACATCATAATTGTTTGAGTTACGTAAAGTTATTATGCGAAATTGATGAAATATACGCTTTCCAAATGAAAAAACATTGGGAACTATCAAAAAATATATTTATCCATGAAAGTTCAGATCTGAACCATTTCCTAAATTAGATCAGGCTAAAAACGTTCACAGATTCAGATGCGTGTATTAGTGAATTCTTTTTTCTAAAAAGCTAAATGTTAACAGTATCCTTGAATCAATGCTATTCAGTATAATAAACTTCATTGTAAATTGTAAATCAATTACATTAAAATGTTATAATATTTGTATCATCAATCACTCACCCTGCTTGATTGGTCAGTCCACATGGATATAAGGGTTCTTAGTATTGGATTATTCAACCCTTTAGCAAATCTTGGTATGGTAGCTGAATAAAACAAAGTAAAAAAGAATTAAAGTGGATGTAAGGAATTTTTGTGTAGCAATAGAAATGCTAGAAATATTTAGCTTCATATTTTACATTTCACCTTGTATCGGAAGAAAACATAAGAATATTGGGTAGAAGTATAATATACTGATAGCCTTGAGTTGCATAATCAGTATTAAGAAAAACATCGCAGATATTTTATGTGAAATTTGAAGTAGAGTGAGCGATAACTTGCATATTATTACTGACAAAATGAAAATATGCGATGATTTATTTTTAAAATGCTTGGAATTAATAAAAATGCCTATTATGCAGCTAGAAGTGAATTCGAGATGGTACTTAACCTAAATTACAAAAAATACATGCTCCGAAGTCAGATTGTTTATTAAAAAACTTGATGATACGCAATGCGTAATCGAGTGTTTAATAGAGCTTTAAAACATTCACCCTTTCTAACTTTTCCTCTAGATATCAACCTTAATTTTCTTCAGTTTGTAAATAGGAGGGTTTCAGATCATTTGATTATAGCTGATGTCATTTGATAATGAAAACCATAACCCCAATTTGTAAATGTAATTCAAAACTACAGATTAAATCTCACTTCTTATCCTTAACTTTTAGCATGATAGCTGTTGTTAGTTGATGGTGAAAACCATATGTGGGTATAACCGTTTAGGGCACTAACTCACAGCCCTCCGCCGACTTATTATATATGGACTTAACTTTTCGCTTTTACCGCAATAAATAATTCAAGATTATTCCTATCAAAGCTATTATCTCACTGTTATTTGTTTCCTTTTAATTGTTAATTATTTTATTGCTAGTAAACGTTTACTGATAAGTAAGTCGTTTAAGGCTGTCAGTGCATCCTACTTTCATTGAATATTGTTCACCTGGATTATAAATCCCGAAATAATTTCGTGGATGACATCCAAGAACAGCCCGACTATTTAATGGCTTACGTTTTTAATAAGACAGAAGTTAGTGACGGTCCATTGACGATTACTTAACTTTACGTTTTATCTGTAACTAACCAACTGTCATCCGATATCAAACTCACGGTTATGTTAATTTTCTTGAATACTTTATTTCTGCCAGAATTTGGATTTATGCAGGTTGTCTAGAGGTTGAGCGTACATACGGAAGAACGGAGTTCCTGATTTCGGGGTCAGCGTGCAGGATTGTGTATGTGCATTGATGAAAAGTTTCATACTAGGACGAAACGGTCGTCCAGTGTTTCCACGTTATTTGAAATGATAAGAGGATTTGTGTTAGGGAAAATATTCTCATTTAAATTAATAATAGCTATTTTAGATAGAAGTTAATAATGTCACTCATTGTTAAACGGATTTAAGTTTTTTTAAAAATATTTTGCTACCAACAGTTTAATAGGGAGTTATTTACAATGAATATAATGAACGGAATTTATCACGAAGTCAGAAGATTATATCAGTGAAAGACAAAATGAAATTCTATGAATCTTAGACACTACACATAAACATTAATCTTACAATTTCCAATGGTAGACAATATTTACTTGTATTTCAGACATATACACCTCTAGTGTCACATCAAAATGCAAATAATAAATTGAATTAAGTAAAATAAAATAAATTATATAAACTATACAACTTCAATTTAATAAATAAGAAATAATTACCGATATAAACTAAAGTATTAGCTGTAAATGTATTAAACAGATATGATATACCAAGTATAGTTCGGTTCATAAACATCATGAAAATACTGAAAATTAATATTTTTAAAAGGAAATTGACAGATTGACATTTAACTTCATTAAATTGTTTATAATTATCATTTGTATCAGATATATTCTGAGAGATTGAATGACTTGATTTTGATATTGGTCTATGTATGATTCGAGCCATTAAAAGTGTGAAAATAAGTGCGATGATTGCAGAAACTATATCAGTTACACCACTGAAAATAATAGTAATACATTTGATTGAAAATATACTTGTTAAACAATTAAGTATAATTAAGTAGTATGGTACAAAATAATGGGATTATGATTTGCTAAAATAATTAAGAAAATTCATATAACTATATTGTATACTCTGTAACAAGTTTAATTGCATTTTCACATTGATATTTAGTAAAGTATTTTTGTAATGAATTTATTTCACCTGATAAATTAACGTATATATGATTTGACAATGAAATAAAACATTATACTGATTGAGTAATTGTTGAAAACTGAAACGAATATTTTCACAACTATCGTGTAATCATGAGCCACTATAATATTATCCATCTACTTAACTTCCTAGTGTATTTAATGGTATTATGAGTAAAATACATATTATGCAGAGACATTAGTTAAAGTTTCATGTTCCAGAAACAAAGAAGAATATATATTTAGACTGTTTGTATATAAAAATGTTTGTCAGAATTAATCAATTATCTTTATAAAGTCTAATGCGCAACTACTTAAAACTGAAGTTCAAACCATGTACTATGGGATAATAATAAATATGTATGTGTACATTGTTGAGCTATCGTTGTATACAGAACCTCATAAACTTAGAAACACTTGCTCAATCCACACAAAATGAGCAGAACAAACTGTATGGATTGCTTATATTATATACATAATGTAAGCCACTTCAGAGTAAAGAAGTGGCATATATTAAGTTACGAAACGTCAAAAATATAATTTTTCCTACTAACAAGCATATATAAGAAAAAAAACACATATTTATTATTAACTTTCTACCCAATACTCAATTTATTTGAGACTACCAAGTCCAACCTTGCATGGATTGTGTTTTGATTATCCTAAATTAAAATGCCTGAAAATATGTGGCTCAGAACACATCTTATCAATGGTTAATAGAGATAGTTACAAATCGCATGTTGAAAACATTGAATTAATTTGAGTTTTATTTTTTAAAAATTCACAATTTGATTGCATATGATAACTTACATTCTCGAAACGGTAGTTCCTCGATTATAAAAACAGTATTACTATACACGTTTTGCATCATCAGCAACAGTTTTTCATAATGAAACATATGATATGTTTATTTCTACAAGCACTTTTTGCATACTGTCGAAAGTAATAGTGATGAACAACCATAGAACCTTTGCACCTAAGCTCTCTGCTAATAAAACGATATAAAGACATACTGAAGAGTTTTGTGTAATTCTATAAGAATCTTCCAAATCTACAACCAATTATATGGACAATCATCTTATATTTACGAAGTAATAAAGTAAAATTAACAGCATATTGTGGTGTATGCTACTGATGTCAGTAGATATAAGTAGTATGTATCATCAATCAAAAGTGAAATGCCTGGAAGCGGAAGGTTAAGAAGGTCAAAGAAATGAGAACGAGAACAAAGAATGATTGGTATTGGAAACAAAAGAACAATGAAGTTCGAGACGATTGATTCACATTTGCAGAAGGAACGGTCAAGTTTGAGATAAATGACTAATATTTTGCAAATGAAGAATTTACTCTATGGTTCTCAGATTTTACTAAGATGCTCTGTAATTTTGCGTTCATAAACTTTCGATTGTCACCACTTGTGTTCCCGTTCACCATAGTGTAATCATAATCCAAAATATTATGTTCGGACATATACGATCAATTGATTCTTATCTATAAATAACAAAATCTTTCAGAAGTATATTTCTTGGAATTTGAATACATTGTAATTTCTTTCTTGAACAGCAATAATGAGGTACAAACTATTGAAAATGAACTGTCTTTACGTACAAATGTACACAGTGAATATAATTTTGTAACAAAATAAAATCTCAAACTTAGGTTAATTTACTTTATAATTTATGCAATAAGATAACTTTTATGTTAAATTTATTTATGGTAATTTGTATATATAACCATCAAGTATTCTTTGGATATCAGTCAATTAATGCTATGACTGAAGCGATCAGGAGTTCACCTAGTCTGAGAACGGAACAAAGACTTTGTGATCAAAGACCAATAAACTAGTTATTCTGACGCGTCTCGGCCCCGCTGAGTAGAGAGAAGTTCAAGTTCAAAATGTGGAAATATATTCCGCAAGCAGCCAGAAACAGGAACAATCACAACAGGCACAAATCAAACGTTAATATACAGCATAAAATTGTCGTTAGGATGGGTTACAAAATAGCATACTGAAAGATACAACGAACCAATAGCATTTAAGATCCTTCTAAGTGGGAAATACGACATGAAAGTGAAGATGAGTGCTTTTGGCGCGAAAACAAAAAACTCAATTTAAAAAAAAATCAAATTACAAAAATAAGGTATTTACCAAGTGATTTCTGGGGATCTAACATCCTCAAAAATTAATATAAAAAAATATAATAAAAATTTCATGATCAAATGTCTATATGTTATAAACCATTGAAGTGTTATTCTGATTAAAGTTTTGTAGTACTTACTATTTAGACATAATGAAAACCCTTCTACTTAAAACGTAACCTCAAATTTTTTGTCATAAAATTTCCATGATACTGTATCTAATTATTCGTTCGTTTCACTAAAAAAAAACAACTTCAAACGTAAACTTACGAATAAATTCCAACATCCTGTGAATTCCATAAAAATGGATATCCCATCAGATATATGTATATAATATACAAATCCGTTGATGTAACAGTAGATAACAAAAATACAATAAATCCAGTTAGAATGTATTGTTTATATTTTCCACTTAGGATCTAAAGTGTTTATTATTGGATATGAAATAACAAATAGAAAATAAAAAACTTTTTTACTGTATATGATATGTCATAATACAATATTCTAATGAAGTTTATCATAAACAGTCATTATATGGAATCTTAAATTCTTATAACAGACTTTATCCTAATAAAATCTAAACTGTTTTCAGATTATCATTTTTATAGACAAAACACTATAGATTAAGTTAGCTTGACTAAAATTAAGACTTATCATTATTAGTTTTATTTAGTTAAAAACAAAACGATAGAAAACATAAAAGAGTATCATCAGGCAAGTGCACCTGTTGGATCCCGTATTGAATCAATTATTTATCCACGCTGATCATTTCTTTATTCTGAGGAGTTGAGAAGAAAAACGGTGAAACTATAATTTATGAACGACCTTTCAGCGACTCTAGATTGACCTTGAGAGTATCCACCAAATAACTAAGACCAAATGAGGGTTATACACCTGTGTGAGGAATTAGAATTATGATTTACAGTTGATGATTAAGGTTAGAAATTAGATTTAGGGTTTTCATCACGAACTGACATCAACTATGATGCCAAAACTCCCTTTAACCAAATGGATGAATGAATTTCGCGCCAAAATTCGAGACCTGTTATCTTATACGTGATTGGTTCGTCTATCAATTACAGTTTCGCTAATAAAGCATATTGATTGACGGTCATCCTTCTACACTGAGAATAGATTAAGCATGACAAAATAGTTTGTCCAAGAGTTAAAAATTATTTTATTTCCATGACAATACAGTTGTAAATATTAGAGTGTATTATATATTTGTGCTTTTATAAGTTCACTGTAATTACATACAAAATTGATAATGTTATGTATTTGGTAATCAATAAATGTAAATAAACCTAGACTTTTAAATGTACAAAATTATTTCATTCATTTCAAATTCGGTCAAAAATTTTTCGTAATTTATCTTCTTTAAGATAAATAACTTAAATATACATTGATAGATAGAGAGGTTAAATAGTTTTCGTATCCGGATTACGAAGATAGTGTAATGTAATTATTCTTCTAAGTATTAAATATTTCAAGTTGTATAATGACTTAATGAAAACTGCATTTTAAAAAATAAGCAAGTATGGATAGTGGATAGCAGTGGAATAGAGGATGCACATTTCGTCCTATTTGAGACTCGTCAGCTGGATGTACCTGCGTTTCAGAATTGGTGCTCACTCCGCGACTACAACCCAGTACCTTTCACTTGAAACGCCCTCATGTTATCCACTTAGCTAATGAGTCCTGATAGCTACTTGCTTGTGCAATGGTGTGAAGTTTAAATTCACTTGGTGTTGTTTGCTTGGATATAAGTGGATAACACAGTGGCGTTTGAAGCGAACAGTACTGGGTTCGAGTCCCAGAGTGAACATGAACTCTATGATGCAGGTATATCCAGATGAAGAGTCTTGATTAGAATGAAATGCCCATCCTGGGTTCCACTGCTAGCTACTATCCATCTTTCTTTAGAATGCTTGTGAGTTAAGGCAATATCTCGGTAATATGCACAGTATGCACATATACCAATAAGAGATTGATCAACTGTAGTTTTAAACATCAATGGGAGGTTCAAGTAAACAATACCAAGTGTATTTTCAAAATATTATAGATATAAACTAATGGTATATCATTGACCATTCTCTGATAAATAGGAATGTTTTTCACGGTTAGTCAAATTTACCTTTATATTTGTAAGATCTTAATGTAATATTATTAAGAAATGAAAAATAGACAAGTTCAAAAGAATTTTGTCAGGTTATCAGTTTATTAACATCAACTCTAACAGAAGTTTATACAGCCAGTTAAAAGCACATTAACAAGAATTGTCCGACTGTCTTTTATTTGCGATAGTTTATAACTCAAGTAGTGGATTTATGGTCGAAATTAATACATATATATATATATATATATATATATATATAAGTTAAAGTACTAGTTCCGTGAGGAAATGGTAACATGAATAACCAAGATGACGCAATAGCAAGATTATACTACTAGATTACGCAATACAAATAATAACAATAGACGTAATACGTTAGTAACGAATTATAACGTGAATGTATTAAAGTAATTAAAATGTTATAATTCGATACTAAGTTATGAGGTCTATTGTTGTTATTCGTATTACGTAAGCTAGTCTTATAATCTTCTTATTACGTCATCCTGGCTATTCGTGTTCACATTTCCTCACGGAACTAGTACTTTGACAAAATAATTTCATATTTATACAATTGTACGAATTTATTAAAATTCGTTGAAAAGAGATCCCTTCTCTGAACTTTATGTTCTTAATATTTAAGTGGAATTAAATGTCAGTAATAGTAATTGGTTGAAATTCTTGTATATACCATTACGGACCATAGATTGACATAGTCTGGAAAAATAATAAACATCATAGAGCACTAAAGAGCTTTCGTAGTCTTCATCAGGATTACTAAGTGATTCCCGTTTACAATGATAAAATTAAAGCCTCAGAATTTCAGAGTGAGCGCGGTAGTTGCAGGCTTACGAGTTAGGATCTAGTGATTTTTCTATTTACATCAGTCAACTATGAATATTATACAATCAACCTACAGATCGTATGTTAGATGTAATGGCGGAAGACTATGCCACATCCTTTGTTGACACACATGGTCAATCTCCCTAACAGGAGCTGTTTGGAACAAAAACGAATAGATCATTTGGAAAGTGATGCATACAAAGTATAATATATAAGAAATAGATGTGAATTTCAATAACCATAATAGTATTTTATGTGGTGACAGTAGTCTGTTTACGTGAGCAACAAACCACCAAAAATATAACGAGATCAAAAAATCCGTAAAGCTTCAAATATATATTTGTACAATGTAATTGTTGTATTCCGGCTAGCGTTTTTCAACAAAGCTGTTTTCTACAGGATGGAGTTGCTGACTCCGTGCTCAAACCTCCACTTCAACCCGATCTTGGAACCGGCAGTAACTCTAAAGACCTACAGACACGTACAGGCAAGGACTGACAAAGCCAGGACCGCGTTCCCACAGCTGAATAGCATATGGAACCCAAAACAACTGTATGTCAACCAGTATCAAAGTTCGGATCTTCAATAAGAACTCCGGGAATTATCAAAACCATCATCAAAAAGGTACAAGTATTTATAAACAGTTGTCTTCTCAATATACTTAATGTCCGTTGGCCAGATACCATTAGCAACAGCCTGCTGTGCGAGAGAACAAACCAGATTCCAGGAAAAGTCGATGAAAGTGGATATGTCACGTATTGAGGAAATCATCAAACTGCATAACGAAGCGAGCTCTGATTTTTAATCGTGAAGAGAAACGAAAAAGTGGAAGATCAAAGGACACATTGAGCTGAGAATCGGAATCAGATATGAAAATGATGAAATAGCAACTGAGGAAACTGGAAAGAATTGCTTGGGACAGAGCTGAATGAAGAATGCTGGTGAATTGCCTATGTTCCTGCACGAGGTGTAACAGCCGTAAGTAAGTAATTAGGTTAGTAAACAATCTATCATTCCATTTTTCACAAACGCTATAATTCTAATATTGTTCTGATTTCCTTAAACACAATAACTCACTAATTAATCAAGTAATATATTATCTTCTAAAACAAGTAAAATAAATGATCATTAAGTTATTTATGACAATATTTATTTACCTACCTTGAAACTGTTTTGAATATTTTGACAATTCACTTCCCAAAATGATAAATTCCTGCTGCGTACAAAAACAATCTCTATATTACTACTCTCGTTTTTACAATCTTGATCATTATTTAAAGTGTCTATATTTAAACATTTCGGACGAAATACTATGTTCGATTCAGGTAGAAAAAATATCATCAATAAACTAATCCCAACCAAAATGTTACAGATGATAACTGGTAGTTGAAAACCGCCTCGATAAAGAAGGGTACCTAAAAGAATTAAATATTGTATTGTTGATTCGATTTGAAATGTTTTATTTTTTTTAAGATGTTTGGGAAAAAAAATACTGGATCAGTAACAATATACTGTTAATTTTGTTTACATTTTTTCAAATCTACAATTACGTTTGAAGAATAACTAAGTCTTTATATATTCAAATAACTGAGCAATATGTAATTAATAAACTGAGTATCAAGACGAAAACTATAGTTGAGTCCAGTCTTAAGCATACTTTGGTATTTGTTTCACCCTAATATATACTTTTAATCAAAGTATATTATATTTAAGCTGATCAAGCAAACAAAAAGATCTCAAGATATTGTTCTTGGAAAGATACAATATTTCATTTCCATTTGGAGCAGATTAAAATAGAATACATCTACAGTGAGTAATATATCAATACACTCGTGATCAGAGTATGTATTTTACCGTTCACGTCAACTCATTAATGATTATTTTACTAACCGTCTTAAAAATACTTAGATAAATCAAACAAATTAATTATTGGATATCGTCATACTACCGTGGTGTGTGCTATTGATGTCGATAGATATAATTAATATGTATTATCAATCAAAAGTGAAATATCTCGAGGAAGAAGCTTAAGAAGATCGAAGAAAAGGGAACGAGAACAGAAAGTGATTGATGTGGAACAGAAGAATCAGTCAAGTCTGAGACGATTGATTGACATTTCGCAAATAAAGTATTTACTATATCGTTCTCAGATTCTGTAATTTTGTGTTCGTATACATTGATTGTCCCTACTTGTGTTCTCGTTCATTATACCATCATCATATTATCTTAAAACGTCTTTGAAATTACAGAGAATATCAAAAAGACATTTTCAGTTCATGTGAATATGACTTTGTATAACACTCGTAAAAAAAATTGTATAACCAAATAGTTTCTAAAATTTTATTATTATATTTCCTATACCAAATTTGTGAATACAACTGATTTACTCACCTCCTATAGGATTTGAAAGTGATAAACTAATTAAAGCAAGTCCATCGAACCAAGTGAATAAAGTCCATAAATTATTTTGATTAGTTAATTGACTATTTGTTACATCATTATTATCTATTGATTCTTTACACACTAAATCCGTTAATGATGCTGAAACTTGTGCTTGGATCGATAACAAACCACCTCCTATAAATCCATCGAATAAACCAGGGATAATTGTTAACCATGGGTTAGCTTGGAGTAGAACAACCACACCTATTAATCGATAATATGTATATAAATTAATAAAATGATAAAAATACACTTTTACTCAACCAAGTCTATGTAAAATCATTTCTTTGTAGACAAGTAGTATATATATAGATATGTAGTAGAAGTTTAATGATACTTGGGTATGTTTATGAATTTTGTGTGACACCACTTAACGTTATTAAATATGTGATATTTATTTATCAGAAATGATATTGTAGTAAGCTACTAAATAAAAACCAAATAGCTAATGATACAGTTTATCTTTTAGAAATGTTAGTAATCTATGGTAAAGTCAATATTATTTCATAATTTACATCAAGCATAGAGATTTGTGTTCGACAGACAATAGTAACTGTGAGACAGCAAACATCTGATTTATTTTAGTATGGGACTCTTAAACAGTACGACGCAACCACATAGAAGGAGACCCAAGACCTTTGGTTTTACACGCAAACGCTTAGCCCTTAGACCAGCAAGGTGCGAGCCGATGGTTTGCATACTTAACTTTAATCAACTTTCAATATCCCATAACCATCTTTCATTATACTTTACGATTGACTGAATCACACTTGACATAACTAAACTCCACTAGTCATTACGTTTCACAAAAACTCAGTTTTATTTGTTTGAATGAACGTTTTAGAACTGACTTGTCGAATAAAAAATATTTCATTTTGTCAATAGAAAGCGTAAAGTGACTAGTGAGGAAACATTCAGATAACGATTTCTTTCTGGAATTCAATTTTAGAATTTCATACATTCAAAGCATCAAAATGATGTTACGTAATATTTTGACAGACAAAAGCCAAAGTCAGTGAGCTTGTGTTCATTTTTCTCAATGGATAGTTTATTGTTTAGTCAAGCCATTTGGTTACTTCTTACACAAGGCTATGGAATGCTTTGATAAAAACACCTACTCAGTGTGATTATTTGTAATGCTTCTCCGATGATCATGATACCTAATGACAAACGACGGCCAAAATGGTCAGATATGTAACCAATTATCATTGTCGTCAATAAACCAAATAATAATCTCACTGAATGATTGCATGCACCAATCCAAGCAGCTCTACGTTGCCCTTCCTTAAGTAAAAGTTTATCTGATTCATTGCTGAAGAGAAAAACAGTGAGGAAATCGAAGTTTATTGTTATATTCACCACCACTCCAATATTTACTAAAATAATAGGAAAAACGATTCAACCACAAAGAAAGGCATGGGTATACTAATTAGTAATATAAATAAGAGATACAAATCATTACCGTGAATATTTATATTTTGAGTTAGATATTCTAATCAGTTTGCCGTGTGTATCAAAACCACAGATCTAGGAAAGACTAATAAATCAGACATTTTGCATAGATATACAATATATGTCATAAATGTGATCCCGTAAATCATTGGGCTGAAATCGTATAAATAAATTATTTCTAGTTGAAAGTTATTGTGTTTTTTCTATCATTATCTAAACGAAGATATTTACAACATGCAGACTCAAGTCTAGTCTTATTTGTTAAAAACGTTAAAAGAACTCAAATAATGCAGCTCACTTTGCGATCAATTCAAATTTCCCATCCTTTACGTCATATGATAAACCTTCGTCTATCGCGCATCTAAATATTAATAGAAATAAATGCTTTATCTTTATATTTAGAACAAATTTTAATTGTGTTTCTAATTGAAAATTTTATAATATGGAATATATTTTAGTGAGGTATATGCCGCATGTATATCAGCATGTCTGTACAAATGTTTTGACGGTACTGTCATTTACATATTCAAGGAGAATTCAATTATTCCATTCATTTTTGAAGCTCTAAATTTATAGACACGTTAAGAAAATAGGACTTACAAAATGAAATGGACTAACATAAGGCTTCAAGCCTTCTGCTCTTTTAAACTGAAACTGACAGTATACATTGAGACTTTCCGTCGAAATATTATTTTAAATAAATGATTTGTTTAGTAGGTTAAACGAAGTTTAGGACATCAGAAATTAACGGATTATGGAATGAACTTCTGTAGGTTAAGTTCGACATCTATTAGACCTCATTGTGAATTTAATGGATCGTCAGAAGCGGCAATTAACAAAATGAGTAGAACAGGAGAGATAATAAGACTACGGAAATTCAAACATGGGAGAAACAGAACTAAATTATCATTTAAAATTGGAGAATAAAAGTTAAGAGTGACGTTTGTCACAGTATTCAGAGTATATTATAGTCAAATTGTTTATTCTGCTAGCCAAAATATAAAATTTAATAAGTAATACATAATTTGTTTAATACATAAGTATTCCATAAATTTGCAATATCTGACAGTGTAGGGTTGGTCGCAAATATAAATATATCTATACAATAAATCAAAGATATGAAACATTGAGGTAATGAGAAATTGATTATTAATAATAACTGATAGTAGTTAAAAATTAAATCCAGTAGGTCGTTTCTGTCATCTCTTAAACAAACTAAGAACATAATGGCTTTTTCAACATCTTGTTAAACTGGTATTATGATTCATTTTATTCAGTATATGTTGGAGTAACTGATGTATTTTGGCTATGCAACACTTCTGTGAGATGAAAATTACACTAGTAGGTAGACGGACGAAGGAAGTATATACTTTTTAATAAGTTACCACCAGGTTCTGTTATTCTAAATCCAAATTATTGCTCCAAAACAAAGATAGCCAGACATAAGGCAAACACGTAATTTAGACAATCATATACGTATTTGTGTTTTCGGTATAAGATCATTGAAATGAATGGTTTGAATATGATGAATACAATTTAGAAAACTAAATAATACTGTAAGATTACATCCAATTAATCTCTAGACGATGTTCTAAAATGGCACATGCGCCTTAATAAATAAATTATGTATCTGACTTAAAATTGTTTTCCAGTCAGTTAGTCACTCAGTAAGCTACAACGTAGGACCAGGCACATATGTGCATTGGTCCAAGTTGCCAGTGTAGAAATTAAAAATAAAAACAAGGATTAACAAAATGATCGTTGCTTCAAATGTTTCGTCTATTATTTAATTTGATATGGAAGCGCATTTATCAAATGCTATCTTCAATGCAAACGATATTTTTTATTCGTTAAATGAACTTCGGAAATACTAGTAAACAAATTAATCCCATTAGCTGAAATCATGAGTCAATTGAAGCTAGATCACCGTGGGAAACCTGGAACCACTGGACGACCGTTTTCTTATAGTATGGGACTCCTCAGTAGTGCGTATCCACGATCTCACCCCCCGCGAGATTCGAACCCAGGACCTGATGGTCTCGCGCGCGAGCGCTTAACCATTAGACCAGTGAGCCGTCATCCAACGGTGTTAATGCTTAAATTCCACCAATCCAATCATTAAAAATAAATAACCTAATCGACTTACCTGTAAAATACATACTGATCAGAAATAAAAAAACATAATTCCAGTGATATATACAAAGGAATAAGTAACATGGCTAATAATATTAGAAATTTATTTCTTAAATTCCAAATACTATCACATTTCAGCATGTTGATAGAAAAAGAATTGGGAAATGTTGTACAATGGTGTTACTTTGCTTGTTTTTTTTCTCGTACAAATAATATGTGAAGTAGTGACAATGTTTGAATGGATTAATAAAAGGTTTTCTCACTTTCTAGTTTGTTTGTTGTCTATTAAATATTGTATTCATGTAAACAACGTAATTTGAAGCCTGGATGTTCTTAATGATAAGTAACAATGCATAAATGTAGGTATATACATATATATTTCACAAACATGATAGTTCACGTGAGTTTATTCATATGAATTCAATAATTCATGTTGTAAGATTCAATAAACCAGTATTTTTCGTCCGTTAGTAATACAATAAGTAAATGAGCGGTGAATTGAACAAAGATTAGGAATCTTAGTAGTTTTGTAAATGTCTATATAATAAATGTGATTTTTATACTAGAATTATAGGAATTTTCAGACTACGTTTATGGTAATAAACAAAAGCGCTAATCTTTCCGGTTTTTTTTAAAAACAAAAACAAAAACAGATGCAATTGGATCATGTGAAGGTAAAATGTGAACTATAAGGAATCAAATGATTCACTGAAAACATTTTGGAGACCATTCATTTATTTCATGATAGATATCATAATGAACATATACCGAGCAAATTTAATGAAACTTATTGAATATAAATCACCTTAAAAGGTTGTAAAGTGCCAATCTGATCGGTTGTACCAAATAGGTGTCTTGAAACAGAGTTTAGTAAAGTTTTTATTCTATTTGAAATAAATCCTATATAGGCTGACTCAGGTCCTTCTTTCTATTCTCTCAAAATAACTTCTTTTACAGGTACATGTAAGCTTATATACAGTTGGAGATAACGTGAACGGGAAATCTAATGATCATAATTTGCTTCGACAAACATATTTTGTACTCGACGATTAGTTTGGATATAGAACATGTCTTGATTAATATAGTTTTTAGTCTTCAGCTGATTTATGATTCAACACTATTGACTTCAAATTATAGTACGGTAGTTTCTTTAGGCTCTTTTCTTCAGTTCTCCTGTATTTAACAGGAAATTTTTGTGGTTACATGTTGTTCTGTAGACACTTTTTAGATTTTCACCTCTTACTTTCATAGTTTATTGACGTCACAGATTCTTTCTGTTTTATAGAATGATATTTTAATTAGTAACTTACCTTAATGTACAAAAGCTGGTAAGATTTAGATAAGCTCTACTCCATATATATTTACGATATATTGAGCGTTAAGTTATTTAATCCTCCATATTTCGCACCAGGATTTCAAAAAAGCAGGATTTATCACTATTTTTTTTACGGTAAACTGTATATGAGCCATATTGAAAATCTTTAGCATGTGTTTTGAATATTTCTGATTATTAGATACGATAATTACGTTGCCAAGATACCTCAAATAATATGCCGTTTCATCTGTTGCTCCTTTGAACTTGGTCTTCAAAAGATTAGCTATGAAAAAAATACTTACTAGAACAAGATCTAAAGGACTTATCGTTGCTGCACCATCAGTTTGACGATTTTTGATAACTGTCAAACTGATACTGAACATCATTCATGTACATAATTATTGACAGTTGTTTGAAATATAATATTGGTAGACATGAGATTTCGGAATACAGAAAGATCTTGATTATGGATTAAATATATAATACTTTATAAAACAAGAGTTTTACGTCAAAAGAAATGATGAAATTATCATAGATGTTGATATGATTTGGTCAGTCTGAAACTGGGATAAATCTTTTAATTTATGTGCAGCTATTCATTGACGAACTGGTTATAGCTTTCCCGTTAGTTAGCATGCAACTTAGTGAAAAGTCGAACTGATTATTGACAAAATAAATCTAATTGTAACAATTTGCTTATGCATCTGCTATAGATCCAACAGGTAACCTGAACGAGACCTTTAAAGTGTTAGTTCATCATAAGTAGTGTTAGTGATGTTCATAACTAACCAATCAGATCGTTACTTCAGCTCCCACCATGTTAATCTGGTCTGATGTGTCTGTAAACTATCCCTATCGCATGTGACTTACCAGTTGAAAGACATCATTATCCTATTATATTAGTGTGACTCATAATTTTTATTCATTTCGATAAGACACGTAATGTTGATCGGTATGTTTATTCGTTCCGCCTAATGACTGTAATTCCTCTAATTACTGTACTGACCTAATCGTTTTTACCTTTAGAAACAGATAATATTTAAAGTCAAGTTGTCCTTGTTCTGACCATAGTTTTCACATAGACTCTATAATCGCCAAAATGGCGTTTACAGTTCTAGTAGTATATTTGTAGGACAAATTAAATCCTACAAAGTTTCAACTAGTAAATTCGATATACCTACTGAAATGGCTGCCAATAAGTACTATGATTCCGATGAGATTCCAGAATTATCACCCCACCATCTGGGAGTTCATGATGAAGGCCAACTTGAAAAAGACGAACCCAAAACCAATAGCATGATAGAACTAGAGTTAGCTAGGTTACGTGTAACTCAGAAGAAGAAATTGAACTAGGAAAGTTACGCCGCCAGAGAAGTGAAGGTTTCAAGATTCGAATCAGTAAAACCTCTGTAACATTTGTCAATCTTATATCTTAATTGGTAGTTTAAGATTTTTTTACATAGGTTCGAAGATTTGTCAAATTACCAAAGAGAACAGTATAACTTAAGATTTTAATCATAAAATTTATATTTAGTCGTTTTTAGAATTTTCTTCTGTGTACTACCACCATGTAAGCGAAATAAATAACTTCAGGTAGGGAGAGGTAGTGTAAAATAGAATTATGTTACTTAACGGAAAAAAAATTTGTAAGCTGAATGATGAAACTTGGTATTACTGAACGAAAATAACTAGCGATGTTTAAATTACTAGTCATGACTGTAGGTAGAACTTTCCTGTTTATTATTAGAATAAGAAGTAAATATTTTCATAAACTTAGATTATTGAACAGAAGCAACATATTGTAACCGCCTTGAAATAACAATCGACATGTATTTTTTGTTATTATATGAATGTATTAAAAAGATTCCCTATTTTTTTTTAATTTTTAATTGATGTGTTGTATTAATTAACTATAATTATAACTCAATCAATTTGTGCAATTTGAGAACAAAAACAATTGAACTCACACTTACTAAGTTATCCTTTACAAGTCATTCTAACATGAATTATTATTGAAGTATAGTATATGTAAAGTCATTTTTTGATTCATTCAAATAGCATTTTATATGACACTTTCCTTTGTCTTATGTAGATACTGTTAATTACTACTTTTGTGAATGAATTTATTATCAGAATGGAGGTTTGTGGAGATTGTAGTAAATTTACTAGTTGAATTCTATATTTTCAATGTTGGTCTAGCTTAGATCAACTCGTGAATTCAAATATTAAAATAAATTTATTGTTGAAGACACAAATATGTCAGAAGGGATTTTGTGGATATTGTAGTAATTTCAATGGTTGAGATCATGAGTCAGTTGAAGCTGGACCACCACGGAAAACCTGGAAGCACTGAACAGCCGTTTCGTCCTATTGTGGGATCGTGGATGCGCATTGATGAGGAGTCCCACAATAGGACGAAACGGCTGTTCAGTGCTTCCAGGTTTTCCGTGGTGGTCTAGCTTCAACTGACTCATGATCTCAACACAAATATATTTTTAGTCTAAAATATCAACTTGCCTCGCGTAATTTAATGAGATAATTTTCGATATGATTATTGTTGTAACTTGAATAAGCTTTATTTTTATGGTATAGACATGAATCGTCTTGATGATTCAGACAAATAGTTATTTTCGTAAATTGGTGGACTTAGAAATTAGTGCTCATCTTAAATTTGATGTTGACTTGATGATAGCAGTATTGTGGTGTAAGCTACTTATGTTTCCAGATATAAGTGGTATCTAACATCGGTCAAAAATGCAATGTATGGTGGCAGAAGGTTGTAAATATTGAAATGTAGAGAAAAGAGAACGAAACTAAAAGCAATCAAGATAACAACAACAGTGGAGGAGCAATGAAGCTTGATTGATGTATTTGATGTACAATTTTCACATTTTACGAAACCACGGTGCAACTGAGGACTATCTCCATCTGAGTGTTCGTTCACTATAGTATTAGTTGGCTATTCTTAATAAATAAATGGTATTAAAAACAACCATACATAATGCAACTTTCATGAATTTCAAATATACTTCGGGGTTTTTAAGTTTGGTAATAATTCACTACAAATAATCTTACTTGTAGGTCGGTGCTATTTATGTATCATCAAAAACTTGTTCACATTCAACTATAGTAAAAAGTAGATGAGATTAATGTGATCACTACAAAAACCATCAAATAATAGATTAAAAACGGTTAGGTATAATTTTTTATTCAGCTACTCACTGTATATTTATCAGCGACTGATAACCAAGTGAAAACCTGTGCATTCAAAAGTCAGACTGTGATTATGGCGGTTAAAGAAAACTTTTATGCTAGAAATGTGAATGTAGTTTACTTAGTTAATTTTATTTATCTAGTCATCGGTATATCAATACCATAAAGGCTTTCGTCGATAAACTCTATAAAGACGTTATTTATATACAATTGTTAATTTGTAAAAAGTGTCTTAGAAGTGTAAACTGGAAAACGAATATTTTAAATAACTGTTTCGTAATCTGCCAAAAAATGTAATTAAGTTACTGGGACTCAACTGAGATACCAAAACAAGTCGAGTTCAGTTATATCAAAACTGAAGCAGTTATCCATCAGTGGCAAAGAACAACCTTATGCTATATTGTAAATTGATTGAAGTGAGAAATAAAAACTACTAGAATTCCAGTTATTCCTCTAAAGACAGTGTTCTAGGAATAGACCTAATATAAATCTTGACAACACAGTGGATAAAGTTAAACCAAATGCACTATACTACTCAATTTCTTACGAATGGTTCAAATAAAAATGATCGTTCAAGAAACTAACTGTAATCATATCTTATAGTTGAAGTTATGTCTGTTAAACTCATTTGATTGGTAAAGGTATGGTGTGTGCTACTTATGTCGATAGACATAAGTAGTATGTCTCATCGATCTAAAGTGAAATACCTGGAGACAGAAGGTTAAGAAAACCAAAGAGAAGAGAGCGAGAACAGAGAATGATTGGTATGGGAATGAAGGAACAATGAAGTCTGAAACGATTCACTAATATTTTGTATATGAAGTATTTACCATATCATTCTCAGATTTTACTAAGATTTTATGTAATTTTGTGTCCAAATACATTCGATTGTCCTCATTTATGTTCTCGTTTACTACAAACGTAATATATTTACAAGACAAAACAGTTACAGTTTATTCAAATGTCATTGAGTTTTCTTCCCTAAGCTCTGATAATATTATCCAGGACGTTAATGAAAGTTTCTCACTTAAATCATCTCTTCTTAAAAACAAAAAAAAATTTAACGAAATCAAAATATATCCACTTGATATGCAAATCTCTATCGTTACAAGCTATTCATTTCCATAAAATAAAATACCATTCTAAATAATCATTCTTTTAGTTATAATATAAAAATCTAGATAAAAATCAATAAAATTGAATAAAACATCTATGAGGAATGCATTTCCTTTTAGAAAAAAAAGTACTTCTTGTTTACATTCTAGTACAGAAAAACAGCAACGACAAAAAAAGAAAACAATATTGCAAATTTTTACAAATTATCTCGATATTATTACAAAATCCAAATTATTAGTTTATTTCGATGGTTAAGATCATGAGTCAGTTGAAGCTAGACCACCATGGAAAACCTGGAAGCACCAGACAGTCGTTTCGTTCTATTATGCTTGCCGTTCAGTGCTTCCAGGTTTTCCATCATGGTCTAGCTTCAACTGACTCATGATCTTAACCATTGAAATTACTTTAATATCCACAAAACCCATCTGATATTAGTTTGTTTATTAGAAAGATAAAGAGAAGAAATTTATTTCCCAAAATTTCAAGTTACAGTTCATTATTTGAATCCAAATGACTTTCTTCTTGTTAAAGAAAAAAATGCTTTAGATTGTTTAAATAAAAATTCAGTTTAGTAAGATCATTTCTTTTTGTATTCTTGTTAAACGTATTGGTAACAACCTATCATAGAAGAAAGAAAAGAAAAAACGAATAAAAAGAAAAATATATATAATGCCGTTTATTGATCAGGATCTTTTTTTCTTCTTTTTTTTCTTTAGAAAGTGTGTTTTTTTAAATTCACTTGGTATTGTTTAGCTTGTATCTTCGCACTGAAGTTTAAGACTGCAATTGGTCAGTCTGTTATTGGCATATGTGCATATTGTGCGTATGCCTCGATATTGCCTTAATTCACAAGCTTTTTGTAGGCTATGAGTCCCAGATTGAACATCAACTCTGAGATGCAGGTATATCCAGCTGACAAGTCCCAAATAGGACAAAACGCGCGTCCTGGATCCCACTGCCAGCCAATATCCATCATTGCTTACAAAAAGTGTAACTTTTTGTTGTTGTTAAAATTAATTTATTTATAAATTTAGATCAATTACCTTACTAATTTACTAGTATTACATATGTGATGTTATATTTAATATATATATATATATATATATATATATATATATATATATATATATATATATCATGATAAATATGAATTCAAAATGTTCAAATCATGTTATTTTGATACTTAAATTCTTATTTACAGTGTATTGTTATATTTGGATGAAGAATAATGAATGATAACTGTCAGGATCTATGTATGGACTGTTATTACGTATATTGTTATGGTATAACTGTTAAGTAATTAGATTATATGTATATTCATATTCCTTTTATTATAAGCTTCGGTTTGATTTATTGACTACTATTATACGTTTTACTATTATTTTGATATTCCTAATTTATTCGTAATAGTCTATCACAATCACAGCTAGTACAGGTTTACGCGTCATTGATCTGGTCGTATAAGTCGGTGTCTCTAATTAACGATATTATCTCGCGATATATTAACAAGCCACAAACCATGACATGCATAAAAATAATTGGAAGCTTGATTTATGTTTATGAGGCGATACTTTTACTTTTTAAATCAACTAAGGTGCTAGAATGTATTATTATCTGCTCTAATGAAACAGACCTCATAGACATTAACAATAATGATACTGACTGGGCTTTCCAAGCAATTTGATTTTTGAAAACACTAGTCAATTCAGTTTTCTTCTCAGATTTTGGCTTAAAGAACACATTTATTCATTGTCTCACTATCCCCAGCTAATAGTCAAGCTGAGAGTGTTGACAATACTCGCGGGCGAGCTCTCATCAAGTTTATAAAAGAGAGAATACAACAAAAAATTCCATCCAGAATTTCCTGAGAATATACAGAGTAACCCCTAATCTAGCCTTACTTGAGAGTGTCTTCCCAGCTGAATCAATATTTGGAAGGAGAATTAGGATTTTATTCGGCGACATTTATCCACAAAGCAAAAACAGAGATTGTCAATCCAAGGTGAGGAGAATTAAACATCAGTTTCTTAGAAGGTTACCAGTGTATGTAAGAAACTTTCGATAATGGCAGCCTGCGTGGGTAGCATGTGTCATCGTAAGAAGAGTCGGTGATGTGATGTATAAAATCGATGTTTGAGGGAAATGCCTGACGCGGCATGTTAAACATTACGGCAATCTAATTCGAATAAGGACCTTCCTAGCTCAAGTAACGGCTTGACTGAACGTTCACAGAACTTTCACATTTCAGTGATAGAATAAGATTTATTACGTTTGTGAGTGAAAAAATATGCTATATAGTATTAAGGTATATTTCACACATATTAATATTTGCTATTAGTAAAAATAGTGCTGAAATTTATCTTTAATTACATGCTTCAATTCGAAATATCACGAATGTGAATATTGCTTATCAATTTATGATTTTATGCTTGCTTGACGAACTAAACAAATTATTGCCTTGTCATGAAACCGATATAAATTCAATTTCTAAAAGATTCCATCAATTATATTCTTTAGAATTCATATGTACTCATACATATGACTGAAGTATTCATGGAGTTGTGGTGTCGGTTACTATGTTGAGCATAAGTAACTTATTCCAGCTTCTTGACAGGCCAATCTATTCATTGTTTTTGAGTCACGTTTTGACCTTGTTAATTATTCACTTATCAACCTTGACTGTTTTTATATGAGCATGTGTGTACATCTTATCCTACTCATCCATATCTGTAACTTATTTTTGTATGACCATAAATAAATATTGATTAACCCTCGATTAAATTGAGTTGGTTCACATGCCTTCTCCACTGAGCATCATTTCAATTTTCCCTCTTCTCTTCGCTTCCTTCGCTACGCCCCTCTGATTGTCTGTCCAGATCAATGAGTGTACAAATATACGTATTCAAAATCCATTCTCGTAATTGACTTATTTGATTCCGTTATACACTAACACGAGTGAACTCGATGATTATATAAAAGGATTGGCGATATGTTTATTTCAATAGCAATCAGAAACAATTCAAACGGAGTCAGATATAGGGCCACAAAAAAAGTAATCAAAAAAGAAAAAAATTTCCATATTATTAAGATTTTTATTATCTAATAGTTTAACATGATTCTGTATCAATTATTTTATAAAATAGTTCAGAATATTTCAGGTTGTTAATGTAGTAAATAATAATGAATGCAGATTGTTATAAATCGCTTTTCTTACGGTTATGACCCAGCTATTCCTATTGCTTAGTATTCTCGGATACCGATTCACTCGACAAGTCCCCAAATCAGAACGCGGTCGAACAGGAAAGAGATTATATTCCAAATAACAAGGTTAGATGGAAGTAAGAAGCAAGTCAGAAGCACAATAGAGAAAACGTCAGTATATTTATAGTTTTTTACATGAGAAGATTCTAGAGTATTCTCCAACTATCGACTAGTGCTGATTGGATAAGAATTAGCCAATCAGCGTGCACCAAAGCAATCGTGAATTGAGCATGCTTTAATCCGGTCTATGTCCCGCTAACACAGATATTCGTAGGTTATTTAATAGTATGAAAGCCTATCAGGACTTGTTATTGTTATAAGATGATTATTCTTCTATTAATGAAGTAGTAAAACTTACTATGTGTGTATCTTGTAATATACTACTTATAGTAATCTTGAATATAACAGTAACTTAAGATGACCTTGATTCTGTGAAATTAATGTATTCAATGAAAAATCCATAGAAAGAATTTTGCAAATACTTTAGACCAGATATTTTTAACCAATTTTAGCAAATACTGTAAATGGTGTGAAGAAATTGGTACACGGTTTTTCTCACCGTAGATGTTCAAGGTTAATATTCATAGGTGGAAGGAACAACAGTTCACTAAGCATTGAATGCACTAATTGTGTACAGTAAATATTAACATTACAAGGTAAATGAAACTGAGAAATTATACCTGACTTACACTCCGAAACCGATAGTAATCGATATGAGTAAGCCGCACATAAAGAAAACAGCACCAGGAAAAGCGTGTACAGTTCCGGCATAAATAAGTGGGAAGACTGTCAGATTGATCAGAAATCCCACAAGCGAAATAAATGTTCCAAGAGATAGCATGAAACCTTTTAATGAATTGAATAAAAATCCAACAAAAATTACGCTCAACTTTACAACACCAATTTGTTTTGCAAAGTAGAAAATTGAGGGAAAATAAACAAAACTAGGACTACCTGATATTGTTCACTGAAGTTTTGTGGTTTTAAATACATCACTATAGCGTCAGTGGTCTTGAATGCTGTTAGAAATATGGGAGCGGTTATCAATTCCCGGTTGCTCACACCATGGATGGGTTCTTATAGAGGTACCTGAGAAGGGAATTGGATTAAAGGTGGTCTTAGTGACTTGAGAGTGTGACCCCAACGCACAAAGGACAACTGCTTGAGGTCGGTCACGCACGACTTTTTTGTGAGTAGTTCTCGTGTTAGCTCCGTACTTGTTGAGACCTTACCACTGGAGATGGATATCCGTGGGCTAAGGCGACGTGTGCATTTTTAGGGTTGACCTTTCCTAACCTCACTCCTGTTTGTGGGAAGGCAGCATCGCTGTTATGCTGGTTGTCTGTAGGAAACACCATACTACCTTCACACCTCTGTACAATTAGCAGTATGACTTCGTCCTCGGACCATGGGTTTGCTGCTTTTAGTCTTATCGCTCTTCAACCAACCTGCATGGTATAGTGGCACCTTGAGTAATGATTGTTAAAGCCAGTATAGCTCGATTGGTTCATCACGATAGGCAAGCCCGATCATCACATCAAGGTAGCAACAACAGTCGGGACAATATAGCCTACTGGAAAATACAATATTAAATAGTAGTGTTCGGAAAACTTAGGCGTTGAGTAAATCTTAGATCATCAACTAACGACCTAGTGTATTTTTGTTATGCCAGTGTCAAAATGAAACGGGTCGTATCATTTCTCTTAATTTATAAAATGATAATAAAAGTTTGCATCACGACGACGTGGTTGGATTCCGTCAGTTTCAACTTCTCGATAGAACTTGGGAAATTCCTTGATAAGAGTAGGATAGACTGAAGTTAGAAATTGGACCATCGCATTCTAACATGGTGGTTTAATAGTTAAATACTCTTCAGTTCTATTCCTAGTATTGTAATTTTTCGACTGTAGCAGAGTTCCATATCAGCAACAAATTGTTTGGAAATTACTGGTTTTCTATTTAATGCTAATCCATGACTAATATCACTCATAAAACAAAGTCTCCTACACAAAAATCTCCAATTTAATGAGAATTGAGCATGATAATATTATGAAGTTTCTACATCCTTTGTTTTTTTTGGTAATGTATGCGTCTTATATACGACAAACTATACTTCAAATTTAAACAGTAAAGACGAAATAACACTTCATTTTACAATTGACCTACTGTCAGTGGTTCACGGTCTACTGAAACCGAGAAAAAACGCTCAGTTCATTAAATGTACTGCTATCTTATCAAAAAGCATGTTTAGAAATATAAATAAAATCAGTCAATAATGAGAAATTTTGTATTCAATTGAATTTAACTTCCTATCACGCTATGGAGAAGAAAAACAACCACTCAGAAAACGCTTATCAAATTTAGAATCCTTTTGGTATATTTAAGGATTTATATTAGTATGACCCCGTAATTTCGCATTATAAAAAAATACTAAAAGCTTTATAGACGAGTATAATTTCTCCAAAACAACAAAATAGGTTGAGAAAATTTGGTTAAGTTACCACCAACAATGTTGAATCATCACAATACTAGTTACAGTTTGTTCAGATTTCTTCGGTTATATCATTGTTTAACCATACAAAGTGCGTTTTATTGTTTAACTGTGTATTTCTCTTACAGTTCTGATATTTTTATATGCCGAGCAATCACTCAATCGACCGGAGTGGAAATGTCTAGGAGTAACAAAGTCAGCTATGAAATCAGACTGAACGTTCAATCAGAAGTGTCATTTTCACCTTACATTTGTTTGTTGTATACCACATGATATCTTGCCCAAAAATGCCATGGTACGGCCGAAAATGGGGAGAGTTCTTTGACCGTCTTGAAGCCCTCTCATATGGCAACGCGTATAAAGCCACTGTTAGGGAAGTCCTATTCATTGCGTCCTCGCGGCAGAAGGTTTCATATACGAAATTGAGAGGACAAGAAGCAAATTTCCGGTGCTTAGACTGAGTTGTTAAATTCGATGACCCCCCCCCAGAATTGGAAAACTCTTATTCAAAACCAATGGTACGCATGGGCTTCAGGATCTTAGCCATGGACACTTTTTGACGTATATTCCATTCCTAAATCTACTTAATTAATACGCTCACTTAAAAATTTTCACTAGTGACATATACGTTTGGTTTGGTATAAAATCGTAACTTTTTATCGTTCTTTGATGATCATCAACAAAATAAATTCGTTATCTTTTAAAAAATACATATGTTTTGATAAGTAGTATACAAATTCACATTTAGAATAAACATAAGTCTTGAATCATTTCACAAAGTAAAATACTCTTTCACCATATAAAATAATGTATTGACCTCCAATCTATTAATTGTACCAACAATCAACAGTAATCATGATTCATTTTAAAATAATGTTTTTAGTAACTGGAAATATTGTACTAGATATAGCTCAGAAACAACGGATTTCTACATATTCATATCTCATTTGATTATTTAATCTTCCATAAATTTCATGGTAATAGACTGTTTTTTCTGACACAACACAACTATTTATTAAAGTTAAACACTAACTGGTCGAAATAAACTTCAAATGAGATGACCTAACTTAGTCATCCCTGGAATTTCAAAATATTATAGTGCATGGCTTTAAAACTGAAATAACAAATATTAAGCAAAGATGAATTGTAGCTAGCAGTAGAATCCAGGATGGACGTTTCGTCATATTTTGAGACGCCAGTTGATGTTCACTCCAGGACTCGGGCCTAGTACTGTTCGCTTCAAATGCCATCGTGTTGTCTACTTAGCTACTGAGTCCAGATAACCATTAGATTGTGCATCGTAGTGAAACTTAATTCATTTCTGCTTATAATACCTGTAACTTAAAATAATATCGAGTCAATCCACACAGAATGAACATATTCCAATAAGAAACTGATCAATTGAGGTCCTAAACATTAAACAAACAATATATAAATGAATTGAAATCACAAATGTTTAATAAAACAAAATATATTCGATTGCTATAACAATTTTCCTTAAAATCGTCTACAATCATTACTAACATACCTTGTTTATCATTTGGTGTTATTATCGAGATCATAGTTCGAATTGGTGCAACAAGTGTATTTTTCACCAATCTTACAGCTGATGCTTATGGAAAAATGAAAGAAAATCAATAATTCTTATTTAATGCTAGAGTTGAGGATTTTATAACACATTCGACAAATATGTCCACCTTTAGTTTTAAATAATGAAATATTTTCAGGAAATATTAAAATATTAAACTCTACAGTTATTGAGCAACTAGTCCAAACCCTTCACTACCTACATTGTTGCAGTAATACAAATTAAATCACCAACCATCACATGACTTAAATATGAATATATACGCGTATATTTTGAAAAAATGTATCATGCAAATTAAAATAATTGGACTTTCAGCATCTTTTGATGCAATACGCATAATCCTCCATTTCAAAACTAAATCATCAGTAAGACTATAATTTATGGACGACCTTTGAGCGATATCAAAGTAATCTTGAGTGTCCACCTACTTACTAGGGTTAAGTGAGTGTTATAAAACAGTCTAGAAAGTAAGGATTATGATTCAGTTGATGGTTAGGGTTAGGAATTAGATCTACGTTTTTTCATCACGAACTGACATCAGCTAAAATGTCAAGATGCTGTTTGGCCACATGGGTGGGTGAATTTGGCGCCTAAATCCAAGACCTGTTATTCTATATCTGATTGGGCCGTCCATAACTTATAGTATCGCCAAATCTTCTACCATGTTATAACAGCAGAAACCAAAATATTCCTCTAGACAAATATTATTTTGTATATCATGTAAATTAATGTTGTCTAATCATTACTGAGAATTACACTATTCAGTCTGATAGCAAACTATAATATCAGTTTGCCCAAAAATATTTTGAGAATCCTTACCAAAGCCTTAATGACATAGCTGAATTATTTATCTTACCTCCATAAACAATGTAATTAGCAGTAGGTAAAGTGAATAAGAATGCAATACCCATCAATATTCTGTTGATTAACATAAATCCAAATCCTATGAATATCACAGCTGTAATCATAAATAGTATTCGCATTTCTTTTGATGTAATTTCCATAGAATTATATTCCGCAACATATTCTTTTGTATCACCCATGCTGCATAATTGTAATATACGAGTTTGTTCCCAATTGTAAATTGCCACAATGAATGTGATGGACAAACATGCTGACAAAGCATCAGATATACCTCTGAAATGATTAAAATTTGAAACAGAAAACCAGTTGCATGAACTATTTTGTTGGCAATATTAGTGTAGATTAAGTAAAACTATGTTCTATTTAATATCTAGGTGGTAACTAAAACTGACAAATCTTGATTTTCCTTGTGACATTCTTAATTTTTTCGGTTTATAAAGTACTACTGTAAATATTGAAGTAGTTTGTTATTTTTTTCAAACAATAATAAATTTAGCGATCGGATGGGAATAGAAAAGACATTGACGATCTCATACAATCACTACGAAAATTATGAGACAACTGAGATTTCGAAATACTCAGTACTTAATAAATATAGTCCAATAAAAAGTTCCAAGAGTTACCCTGGTCTATAAGGGATTGATACTGGGCTAAACGATTATAAATCACATGAAACCCAGTCGCTAATGTAGAATAAGGAACTGGAAGATATGAAGAAATTTCAACCCATCGTCTTACTTTCATTTAAACGGCATTATTCTCTAGCTAAATCTCTTCAATAACATAATAAAATTCATTTATCAATACTAATTCTTGAATTAATAGTGCAGTTTATCTGTGAGAGAGTATAGTGTTAGTGATCATAGTGCAGGCTTATAAATTCCAAACAGTTCTACTACATCCTACTGGCATCCTAAAAGTTTGGTTATTTTTAGAGAGTATTCGATTTTGAAAAAGAACTATTGACTTTTAACGATGTAATCGCAGCTAGTTACTGAAATACTTGTTCGAATTTCTGATGGTTTATAGTAAAAATTTTTAAAACAACCTGAAATTTAAATCTGTCGGAATGTAAATTATTAATTCATCTAGTTCTCAGACTATTCTTTAACTTGTAAACAGAGACGTGTTAACAGTGCCAAATAAAACTACGGTTCAATTATTCACTTATTTTATAATAAAGAAATACTTAGCTTATGTAAAAATTACATTACTTAGATTTGAGTATACTGTAGATAATTGATAGGTTACAGTAAATGATGTAATGACGCTGATAATTTTTATAAATATAAGTGTATTACTTGTTATAAGTCAGTTCGGCATTATAATCTTTTGTTTGAATTAAATATTTTATGCAAAATTTTGTAAGCTTGTGTCTTAAAAGGTGGTAACAGATTGACATAACTGATAGATATGCCATTGAATATATAATTGGATCACATCACAATAGCCCACCATATATGTTAAGAAAGAGATTGTATTCATTTTTAAACATATCAAAGTGAACAGTAATAATATGGGTTAATCATATTTATCATAAATAAGCTAGAGATAGCTTTATAGATTTTGTGATAGGACGTTAAGTGATCTTCAACCCAGGTAAGTAATCTTTGTGTTTGCAATGTTTCAAATAACGCTGCTCCAGAAACTTACCTACCGAAATACATTTTGATGAGTTAAGACAAAAAGAATCGAAACAACCTTGCCGACAATACCACAGTCGAGATGAATCACGAATAAATATAGAGGTTATATATATCTCCCCTTATAGTAAAATTGACTAGGCGGCACCAAGGTGGCTAGTTTTTCGAGTGCAGTGTAAAAAGGGTACACATTCGAAAAGCGACAAGTCATGTTCACTGTCCAAGACGTACCGGGATTGGGAGACCACCGAGTTAGAGATAGTCTCCCAGTCGGGTGCTAAATAGCACGAAACCTAGATCTGGGGTGCCCTGTTGACTACAACCCAACCACCATCTTATAGAAGTAATATTTAGCATTATTTGCTATTAATGAACTAATAAATGATCCACAATAATCTGGTTTGGTCATAAGTGGTCAAGATGACTCTCTTATAAATGTGTTTATGTAATTGCAGCCGTATTGATGAAAACTTTGTTCAGTGAACAACTTTGCAGTATTATCACACTTATATTCTTCCATTATATATTCGAGATTATTAAAACAATGGTAAAAGCACATGATGTATTAGGGTTGACATTAATAAAGAAAAACTGTATTGTGGTTTCTATAGGCGTAGAAATGAGTCATTCTGTTATCAGCAATAACAGTTAGTTAATCTTCAGTAAAGTAACATTAAGCTCTTCCGATGAATTTCAAAGAAATTATATTTACCATAGTGATTAACATTAAAGTGGCTTTTCTAGGACTGTATGACTCGTATAGCAACTTGGCAAATACCCATAAATTTAGTGCTGTTATAACGCAATGAAAGTAAAATGACAAAATATTACATAATCAAAATAAACAACTGAAGATATCTTTAGAAAAACTTTGTTTTATACTAAAACGTAATATCAGTGAATATCAATGAGAAAAAAACATGGTACAGTTCAACCATGTTTCTGAGTTCGATGTACTGATAGTGGAAGGTGAGCAAAACTACCGGGAACAGCTGTACAATGGCTTCTTGTTTCTACTGGTTCTCCAAATAATATCACCTTACTAAGTAAAGTTCTTTAAAGAATCCGGAAATATTGACAAAATCACTACTTATGATTAAGTACTAAATAAGTGAATATGGGAGTTAACGTTGATGCATATAAATTACTTAATTATAAAGTGTAGTTATCCGTTATAAGTGTTACTGTGATTTACTATAAATGGGAAGTACCGTTTGTCTGTTCGATTTTAATGAGTACAAAAAAAACGAATAATCAGCTGTTGATTGCACATCATCAGTTAGTTTATTTTGCACTCACGCATATAATCCGACTGTCTGTGCATTCCAAAAAAATGGACAACCCATTAAATATATGTGGATGTACTGCAGATCTGCTACAACTGTTACAGATACGGAAAAAAGCAATGTCATTACTATTCTTGATAAAGGACTAGAATGTCGAATCGCCTAAAAGAGAGGCAAGAAATGAAAAACGATTTTGAAATTAATTTAGCATGTCAATTAATTAAGAGATTATAAGGCTTAACATTTAATGAATTTGACGTCAGTGTTTAGTTACCTATTACCCTGATCAATTTCATACATAGTCTCAGACTCATTCCGTTGGACAACGATATGTTATTATCCGTATGCGAAATATATCGGAAGCACAATTATTACAACCTTACAGATCAGTAGATGAACCATGATGAAGAAATTTTAGTTCATGATGAAGTACAGAGACTGCTTCAGATAACTTAAAGTATGACCTGTTAAATGGATTTATTTTCGATTCAGAATAATTAATAAGTTGTAAACAGACATTTGCGCACGCATTAAAAAATGTTCACTCATAAAAGATTGGCAGCTAGACCCGGGAATACATTTTAACAAATAATTAGATTAGAACGACTCATTGTTTGGTTTTTAAAAACAGAGGATAGATTCTCATAGACTTGTTAAAGTTAGTCTCCCCTCCTAATAATTACTTACGCCTGATCACCCTCGTTCAGGAACATATGCTGCCCACCAGCATTCTCCATCGAACTCTGTCCTGGACAATTTTTCAGGTCATTTCTAATCGCTATTTATCCATTTGATGTCTGCTTCCGATTCTCGATATAGTGTGTTTCTTGTTTTTCCACGTTCACACTTTTATTCATGATTCCAAGTTAGGGATTGCCTCGTGATGCAGTTTACTGATTTACGCAATATATGTTCTATCCATCTCCAACGTCTTTCCCTGGTTTCATCTATGGCTTGTTTTCGTCCAGAGCAGATTGTTGCTAACGTTATCCCTCAATAGAACGTGGAGCATAATTGCAGTTACTTTTATGTCTGACTTCGGTGCTTCATGTGGTATATTGTCAAGTGTTGCTGTTTTCCCACACTTGATTTGTCTGTCGTTGAATTTCAGTGACTGGCTTATCTTCTTTGTCCTTGGCCGGTCTCTCCGGTTCACTATATTTCCCTACCAGTTTCTACGTTACGTCATACAGCTCTCTCACGTTTCCTTCTGTGCTTCTTTGATCCCTTTCGAATTGTCTTTCATAGTAGTTTCTTCTTCTTTTAATAGATCTTGTAAGGCTTGAAATCTGATGTTGAGATTTATCTTCAATTCGTTGGGCTTGTTAGTATGTCGAAGGAAGGCTGTATTGGATCTTGGTAGTGCGTTTTCCTCAGTTCTCCAGTGCTTCTTTAGCTTCACTTTCATCTTGACCACAACTAAGCGGTGATCTGAACCTATGTCAGCTCTTCTCTTGAATCACACGTCTTCAATTGACCTTTTAAACTTTTCACTGTTGCAAATATGATCGATCTGGTTCTCTGTAGATTGACCCAATGAGATCCATGTAGCTTTGTGTATGACTTTGTGGGGGAATATTGTACCGCTTATGGCCATTTTGTTGATACACATAAATTTGCTAATCTACCATCATTCTTGTTCCTTTCTCCCAGACCATGTTTTCCCTTGACGTTTTCATGGCGTTTAAGTTTCTCACAAAGATGGTGAGAACCTTTCTTGGGCAGTTCGCTATGATTGATTGCAGTCTCGAGTAGAACTGATCTTTATTGTTGTTTTTGCTATCATTGTTGTGTGCATAACATTGGATAACATTCATTGTGATCCACTCCTTTGTTTTGAAGGATGATTTGATGATACTAGATGCATGAAATTCCCATCCTATAAGTGCATTTCGTGCTTCTCCGGACAGCATTAAAGCAACTCCCTGAGTGTGTGAAAATTTTCTTCTTAGTGACCGGAGTACAGCAGCATCTCTCTCGCACCTAACCTTTTCTGTCCACCTTGTGTCGAACGTGTTTCACTTATTCCGATCACCGCTAATTTGTATCTTCTTATTTCCGTAGCTATTTGAATAATCATACCGGTCTTTCACGTTGTCCGGACATTTTACGTACTTATATTCATCGTTGCTCTGGTGGTGTTTAGAAGAAGCATGGGTCTCGTGACTTCTGAAAAATCTCAGCCTTCTCCATGAAGCATCATAATTCTCCTGAATGAAGTTTCTTCCACTCGGAGGGTAGAGTTAGATGGTTTGATTTGTTTATCCGAGTTAACGCTTTTTAGCAAGGTTCTTTTCTACGAGATGGGGTTGCTGACATCATGTCCAACCTTACTCCTTTATCCAGCGTTGGGATCTGTAGTAAACCTAGAGAAGCTATAAGCAGAGTTTTAGCTTTTCCCTTGAATAAAAATATTTTAAAAATGCCTCTATTTAAAGAATATATGACAAAGAACTAAACAAGTAGGAAGAAATTCAGTATTTTAAGAATGGTTAAAGAATACGTTGTGGTATTGGTAAAAATAATAATGTCGACAGTAAGTATCTTGTGTAGATATATGTACAAGAAAATGAGAAGTCATGTGGTAATTACAAGTATTCACATGTTAATTATTTCATTAAATGTGTTTACAACAAAAATTCCGAATAGTACAAAAATGTCATGTTTATATTAGGTAAAATTATGTGTACAGTGTATTTGACTTGTGAAAATCATACTCTAATATTGCGGTGAACGAGAACACAAGTCGGGACAAGCGAATGTATATGAATATAAAATTATAAAATCTAAGAATGGTACAGTAAATACTTATATCTATCGACATCAATAGGGCACACCACAATATGAGCAAACGTGTTTGATTAATATGTACAACAAAATATGACATGATGTTTGTGATAGTTACATATGACAGTTTTTAAAACCTCAGATGATGAGTAAAGAAAATTTTTGATTTAACAGAAAATGATGACTAAATTCGTAATTGCCATAATGATAAAAAAATACAGAATAATTAAGTATAAACGTGTTTTAATAAATTAGTGAAATAAACCATACTGATAAATGATTAGTGGTTTTTTTGCATAGATATAACAAAGTTTTGCATACAGATTAAATAAAATTAACAGCTGAACGATAACTGCATTAACGAGTTAGTACTCATACCGATGTTATTATTTATCTGAGATAGAAAATCATTGTAGATTATAGTCAGTATTATGAATGAATATTACCAGATCATCTTATTGCAAAATATCTGAATACATTTACAAGTGATAGTTTTAAGTATTTTTGTGATCTTCATTAAAAGTTTCTGAAAGGATTTATAATACCATTTCTGGTACTTAAAAATCGATTAAACTACTATATTTAGTTAACTGACCTACTACAATTCAATCGGTGGACATATCGACCAATAATTCAGTTTTGTAAAGATATAGGTAAACTAGTCTGTTCGAAAAAAAATGGTCTTTTTCTAGCAGAACACAATGATTTGAAACTACCCAACTGAAAGATTTATGAATTTTTTTTTGTTTTCAAAATTTTTTAGTTCGAAAACGTGTTTCTTTCTTTTTTTTAAACAAACATTTAAACCGTGTGAAATCATTAGATTCTTCTTGAAATATTTCGTTTTACAAAACATTAGATTATGAAAGTGAACCTAAAAGAACAAGTTATCATGTAACGGATTTTGAACTATGTTACTTAATGACGTCACCCAAACTAGTTGTATGGTAAGTGTATTTAAGTATTTGTGAAGTTTGTGATATGACATCAAGAAGCGTAAGGGATGGTCTATAATGAACTATCTCTACAATTAATATAGATAAACTCCAGAATTCATTTATGACCCATCCGTATTCATATTCAGTCTTTAACGAAACAAGTAAATATAAGACTTATATGCGCCCAAAAATGATTTTTAATATTTACACTTGAATAGTCAGTGAGTAGTGACCAATATTGTTCATTTCAGGTCCTTCTTAGTACTGATCGAATTCTGTAGGTGAGTTTGCAATGTAGCCACTAGTCTAAGTGATTCGACATCGCGTGCATCATACTGTGTGACAGAGTGGTAGTTGGAAGTAATCGATAGGAGTCTCTGGACATGGATTCTATATTGTTTGCCACTTGTCATCAAAACGTGTCTGTGATCTTGGGGGAGGGGAATAGCGCTCCCTGGCGGGTTTGATTCAGTGTCACCTAGCTTCAGAGTCAGAGACGTTACTACACAGCTATTCTGCCCACTATTGACCTTCTGTAAGACTCCTATTGACTAAATTAAACCCTTGCCATTCATTTCAATTGATTTAGAATAATTAAACAGGAAAAACCAATAATTATTCAATGTTTGCCAACATGAACATTTTGAATGTGTCTATTACTGAAAATTCACTGTTATTTCAGAGGGAAATGAAGTGCTGTATTACTGTATATAATTGCGTTTAACTCACCAGAAAATATCCAGCTGTCAATATATATTGATTCACTTTAAAACAAGTCATATAGCGATCTCCAGTAGCGATCATAGTGCATGAAATTCTTCTTACAAGCAAAAACTGGTGTTTCACCACGTAGAGTTTATTACTTGATGCCCTCATATAGGAAACGGTCCACAAATGTAGGTTGATAATAAGTTAATCATCATTCAGTGATATCAAGTACTGAACAAGGTGTTCACTTTCTTCCTTTGTCTTACTGATTTTAATGTTTTAAAAGACCGCTAATTAACACGGATTTTCTAATGAATCAAATACAAGATTCAAGTTCACTGGTTTGTTCATACGAATCAAAAAATATTTTTATGAAAACTAGTTAATTGTGTAAACATTATTAAGACTAAAATCAGAGAGCTAATTTATATTTCATTAATCTATCCTAGTTTAACAGGTATAAAACTGAGTTACTAAGGCATTTTTTTGCTAGAATTATTATTTACATCTGAAGAAGCTTTTTAATATTCATGTACAGACAATACGTTCTACAAAGTATGTAACCAGCTATACTATAAAAGATATGATAAGTGGAAGATGATGTGCTCCAGAAGCCATATAAATTGACCTGATATAAAATTAATACTAACCTTGAGCATTTTTATAAATATTCCCATTATTTTAATGATAAATCCACTTGTTTTAATTTCTAAGTAAAGTAGACCATCTTCAGCATATCTAGATTCACTATATTGACAGATAGCATTATTTTGTGGATTACGTCTTCTCCTTAATACATCTGGATTAGTCTCAGGAAGAATTGATAATCCAAGTACTGAGGTAGTATATAATGCAATGCATATAGTAACAGAGAGACCGAAACCCAAGCGGTGTACTAGTATACCTACAAAATTAAATTCTACATTTAGATGTAAAATATTTATTTCTTGAAATGGATGAACTTTTTGTATAGTAATGGGATGTTCGAAGAGTTTATTTATTTATGGTAAAAGTATATATTAACCCAAACGGAATTTATCAACAGAAGATTTGTAAAGTGTCTCTGTATATGAACTATGATAAGATTTTTATTTCTTAATTACAGTGTACATATTAATTAAATTAGTATTTATGTTAAAACACCTAAAAACATTAACATGTTTTCTTTTATATGGGAAGTGAAAATCAAAAGGGTTGTTTACGTGAACAACCATTATTCTTTTGTAGTTATCACTATAAATGATCTTAAGGAGCAAATGGAACTTGTCACCATCCCGCACGCGAGACTCGAACCCAGGACCTTGGTCTCAGCCAACTCAACGATCTTGAAAACTCTATACTGATAATTTACTTTTAAAGATAATCTACAATTTTTACAATAACTTACTGTGGTAAGTACCGTGGTGGGAGTTTGGATGTTTTAATTTGTGAATACACTTCTCACTTGAATAAAGCAAGTAGATCTATACAGTCAAAAGAAATAGGTTCAGCTACATCCATTAAAACCTTTATTCTATATGTTTATCACAAGGTAATTTCAGTTAACAAAGTTACATATTGATCGCAAACCTGCATTTGATTGAAAGCTTGCTCGTTCTATATTTTTTTCAGAATACTTATTTACATAATAAGTAAGTCACAATGTGGATGAACATTCCATATGACTAGCAATTATATCGTTGTACATTTCTTTTACACATAGTAATACTAATAATCTCTTAGTTTAATTTCAAAATCAGTTGGATACAGTTAGTCATTACAACTAGTTTGTTTTAATATTGACAATATTCATCCCTGGTTTGTTAACGAAGTTGAACAGTTTTTTTTGTTTTAATTTTAGAAACAATTCCAAGTTTGGTTGAAAAAATATCATCAATTAATACAAGTATTTAATAGATTGTTTTAGATATTAGATTACTTATACTTGTTCATTGACTATATACGGCATCGAAAATGTTGTAATTATTTGGGGAATAGTGCTGTAACTAAGTATCTGCATTATTGCTAATGGTATTACAGTAAATTTTTAATTCTCTCTATGAGCTATATTCAAACATTTTTCGACACAAATAACATTATAACTAGCAATAAATATATTATAAATTCTTTTAAAATGTGGGCATATTTTGTGTTGCATTTGCGCGTTACACCTATATTGTCTAATCGTACCATTTGATGTCCTACATGAGTTAACGTATTTTATCACCTTATTTAAATGAATAGCTGGTTAGGATGTAGAACAGCTAACAGTGAAAAGTAATACTCAGATTTCTTCCCATTTAGGATTCACCAAATGAGTATACCAATGCATGCATTGATGTCCACGCCGAAAGTCAAACCTAGTGCTTCTCACTTCAAACGGCTACGCGTTTTCTAATGAGCTATTGAATTCAAATGGACTCTGACTTGTGCAGTGAGAAATGAATTTTATTGTTTATCTGTAATAGTTTTAATCTTTTTGTTGTGATTTACTTGCGATATCGAGGTAGTCCGCATAGGATTCACATATTGCAGAAGCTACTGATCAGTATTTAGTCGTTCACACTAATAACCATAGGATTTAAACCCTTACAAATAATTTTTAATAAGTCTATACCATAGAGGTTTTGGAATCTTGTTTCAAATTATCATAGTCAGAAGTCAGACAGGCTAATGTTTGAAGTTGATTTATTACTTAATTGTCAGATTTGTTTAAAAAATATCATTATTTATTAAATGCTCGTCAAATGTCTAGTGATCTTTCACTTAAGATTCAGTGTACCCAATTATGACTTATACTGCAAAAAATATAGACGAAAATCAAAAGTAGATTGTAGGCAGACTTTAATTATCAATTCATGAGACTGGAGCTCAAAAGTTGGATATCAAACGGGAAAAATGGGTTCCGTATATCCAACATCATTAGTTTTATTTCCGACATAATCACCAAAATAAAGGACTTACAACAGTGTTAACAGACATTTAAAAAGTAACTCTACTTAGTAGACTATATATTCAATCTATTAGTTCTAAAATTATCTCATTGATAAAGTGAAATTTAACATATTACTTACCTCCAAATAGACTACCACAAGCATGACTTAAACTTGCCAAACTATCATTCATCGTAAAAAATAACCACCTGTGCTCTTTAGACGTATATTGTTGATTTAAACTTGAGGTATTGGAATTTTCATTAGAATCTTCCGGTTGTACAGTGATATCAGCTAAACATGCAGATATTTGAGCAGTGAATGATACAAGACCACCGCCAAAAATTCCTTCAAATAAACCGGGAAAAACAACTGTCCATGGATTCAAATTTAAATAGATGATAAAACCTACATGAATGTTATAAAAAAAGAATATAGTTAAAAAAATTTGTAAAACAATCAGCTAACCATGACTGAATTGCTACATTAGAAAAAAGAAACTGAAAATGTAGTAACGTCACCCATATTTTTTTTAGAATTTTTTCGCTGGTAAACATCCAAGTACCAATAAAGCTCATTACAGCAATCATTAATAATAAACAGTATTTGTTTCCATCTAAATAAACAATAAAACTTTAAAAAGTAGAAAAAAATGATTAGCAAGAAAGTTTGTTATTTTTTAAAAACAAAAATCTCACCCATAAGGCCAATATATACTGCTTCACCAAAAATCAATATGCCTAAGGCAATTTTACGACCGAAACGATCTGATATATATCCAATAATAAGGACTGTTGCTAATCCAAAACTTAAACGTATAAGATTACTGATAGATTTTATCCAAGCAGCTTTTGCTTGGACTAACTTCAATTTTTTTTCATCTTCATCATATCTACATATCAGTTTATTTAATAAAAAAAGAGAGAAAAAAACTTTCTGAGATAGAAAGATAATATCATAAGGGATTTTGTGGATATTATAGTAATTTCAGTGTTTGAGATCATGAGCCAATTAAAACTAGATCACGATGGAAAAACTGGAAGCAATGGACGGCCGTTTCGTCATAGAATGGGACTTTTCAGAAATCCGCATTCATAATCCCGCCCCGGCGATATTTAAACTCAGGACCTATCGGTCTCGCGCGCGAACGCTTAACCTCTAGACCACTGAGACGGCATCCAACGGTGTTATTATCTAACTTCAACCAATCCACGAAATTGAGCCACCGTCCACCATTGTCATCAGTGAGTTATTATCTCACAACTGACTTGGTTGAACTCTACTGGTCACTGATTCTCACTAGAACTCCAGGATATACTTCCTGAAGCCAGTCGCTAGTGAGCATATGCTAATTAGTATGAGAAGGAAAGGAGTCCCACAATGGAACAAAACTGCCGTCCAGTGCTTCCAAGTTTTCCATGGTGATCTAGCTTCAATTGACTCATGATCTCAAACTTTGAAATAGAAAGATAAGTAAAAAAAATTAACGAAATTCTAAATAGTTATTATGAAATTGTCGATGAAACTACTTAAATGAGTATAGGAATATGTATCGCGAATATGTTTTAATATGAGGTATTTAATGATTGTTAACTGTAATTGTTCATGTTGTTCTATATTTATAGTAGTTTCTGTATTTATTCTTATTATTGGTTGAAATAAATAGAAGGGAGATTTAGTTTAATGTCAAAGTTCCGATAAGAAAATGCTTTACACTTAGTTTATGGTTAAAATAACTCACATTTTAATGAATCAATAGTTTGCCAATTAAACTACGAACCCTTGATCATACAGATAATGTTTCTGCAAAATGTGCGTAGATATTCGAGTATAAATATAATTATATACTCTGGAAGGTTGTGTACATGAAAGATGAATTAAATGCATTTGTCAAATATAGATATTTCGTTGGGTTTTTTTTGTTTGAGGGAAATAGTGAATAATACTGGAATGAATTATGTTTTCTGATTTATATAACCTTGATATATGCAATGTTATTCAATTAATGATAAGCAACTAATATCTAATTTTTTAGCCAGTTCATGATAGTTAATAAATCGTATCTCCAGCCTTAATGAAAAGGAATCAATATTTTCATCAGAAAATACAGGCTGCAATCAACATTCTGTCAAACCTAAATATTGACACAAATTGACCACTTTGAAGTTAACAGTTTTAAGTCTTCTTTGTCCTGGAGGATAACGTCTTTGATGTCCGACTGACTGTTTCCAATTATCTGACATTAGATATTGTACTTGTTTTGTCGAGACGCTTCAACTAGTGACCACAATTCAATTGGATTTGATTAGCGCTAGATACTAAATAAGCATGACATTGATTACTATTCAGTGACATACAATTTAAAGTTACTTTTTATACTAAAAGAATAAGACACATAATCAATCGTTCAATAAAGAAGATAAAGCTTTCTTTCATAAGATAGCAGACGACTAAAATCTCGATAAAACTGAGTAATGTTTTATTGTTTTATACTATGCATTAACTTCTATTTATTCATTGAAGAAATGATGAACAATTCCAATCATGATACACTAAAATTGAATCAAATTCATATTAAAGTATTAGTTTAACATTTTTAAATTTACTACTTACGATTCTTTCTTTCTACTATTACTAAGGAGATGGCCATAAGGTAGACCATGCTCCATTAAATATCTGTAAAACAATAAAAACCAATACAAGCATGGACGTAAATAATCGATATTCTTATTTATTTCACGAAACAAAGAACTAAAATGTATGTAGATAAAGTAAATTTTTCAATGTATTTCGATTTGATATCCTAAAGGACCTTTTAGATAATGAAAACACGTTGAGCATAACACATAAACCTGAATCCAATTGGTGTAACAAAGAGTAAACTATCTTCAAATTACACAAATTCTTAAATAAAAACGTTTTCAAGTATATTTTTGTGGAGTGAAATAGACTATTGCCGATTCCCACACTACCTTTACGATGTGGTCAGTTATTAAACAGCCGGACATTAATTTATATGAGGAGGTCATTGAAAACTACACAGAGCTTTTCTAAATTGAGTTCGTGACCAGAAAACATATTAAACATGATGAGTTCTCGGCACATCCCTTGAAACGCAATTGGTTAAGATATGCATAGCCTGCATAAGAATCCGATTTTCCCGGGCAAACCAATTTCATCAACATATGAAACTTTCAGAGGATTATTATTCAGTCATGTGCAGTGTGCCAGCCACCTCTTAAGAAAGAGAGAATCAAAATTTCATGAAATGGCGTGACAGAATGACCGGAAAGGCAGAGACTTCGTACTTCAACTGCAGAAATAGGCTGAAGTCTGCAATTTTGGAGGATAGTTGAAAATCCAATTTCGTGATCCCATTGCACAAGTAAGTAGCTATCAGCACTCGATAGCTAAGTGGATAACGCGAGGAGAGTTTGAAGCGAACAGTATTGGGTTCGAGTCCCAGAGTGAATATCAACTCTATGATGCAGGTATATCCAGCTGAAGAGTCTTGATTAGAATGAAATGCGCATCCTGGGTTCCACTGCTAGCTACTATCCATCTTTCTTTAGAATGCTTGTGAGTTAAGGCAATATCTCGGTAATATGCACAGTATGCACATATACCAATAAGAGATTGATCAACTGTAGTTCTAAACATCAATGGGGAGGTTCAAGTAAACAATACCAAGTGTATTTTCAAAATATTGTAGATATAAACTAGATGGTATATTATTGACCATTCTCTGATAAATAGGAATGTTTTTCACGGTTAGTCAAATTTACCTTTATATTTATAAGACCTTAATGTAATATTATTAAGAAATGATAAATAGACAAGTTCAAAAGAATTTTATCAGGTAATCAGTTTATTAACATCAACATACATATGATTATTGTAATTCTCACCGCTTTTAATGAATGAAAAAAACAACTTCATTAAAGGAAGACAATTACTGCCATTTCCACTTAGTCTAGTAAACAATATATATTTCCTACTTTATTTATAAATGAGTAATCCACAAAAATTAATTCTTAAGTTTTAGATGATTATTGATTAAATCTTTTGTGTTTAATATCTCGAACATAGTAGTGACTATTTACGGAAAAGAAGTGACTTTTTACAAAGGCTATCTATAACCTCCTTGATTCAACAAGTCAATTTTTTGCATGGGATTGTCGTTTAATTACACTGTAGGGAATAAGAACACGAGTGGGGACAATCGAATGTAATTGAGCATGAAATTACAGAATATCTCACTAAAATCAGAGAACCATATAGTAAATACTTAGTTTGCAAAATATCAATCAATTGTCTGAAACCTGACTTTTCCTTCTACCAATATCATTCCATTGTCTCAGATTTTATTGTTCCTGCATTTTTGTAACAATTGCCCTCCGTTTCCCTTCTTTCCTTCTCAATCTTCTACTGAAATACATTCTATGTTTAAACATCGTTATATACTACTTATGTGGATATGAGTAGCTCACATCACAACACCAGATTTGTTCACGTTGTTAATAGCCTAATAACATATTTATACTGTTTTCTTCGTTTATAACACTGTTGTAAATCATTTTCACATTATTTTATGAAGAAACTACTTGTTGAATATAAACATTAATCTGATTGCAAATTCGTTTATCTGTATTATTAATCCGTATGATACTCAAAATTCGTTTACATACCTCTTTGTAACATTCATTACAGAATATGTTATGACTATTACTAATAATATGAATAATTATATATCATACAAATGTATGTATAAAAGTATATCTAATCTTTAATGAAAATGATATTCAACTTACTTATATATCACATATTGATCAGAGACAAATAAACATGTTTCAACAGCAACATATAATAATGTTGTTATAATGATAAGAATGATTAACACTTTTAAATTTTGATTTTTACATTTAAATTCAAGCATTTGAGAAAGAAAGTGAGTAAATTATCTAAACCTTATGGAGGAATAGATAGATTTCTTTTTCCTTTAATTTTGTTACTCTTATCGTTGTTGTTAATGTTGTTGTTGTTAATATGATTCACAATATGTAACAAACATGTTCTTTTCTTTTTTTTTAGTTTTATTATAATATTAGGCAACCAATCATATGTGTAATGCATTAAAATGCTGATTGTAATTTGTCATTCATTTATCAATAATTATGTATGCAATAATTGAACATCTTAACAATACAATCTGATTAAATAATTTGGTATATATATATATATATATATGATACATGTAATGTTTTTTTTTCTCAAATTGTTGTGCAAAACATTCTTCTGTGAAAGTAAAAAATAAAAAAACAATTTATTGATTTATTGGATCCTATACTATTTCCATTTACTTTGATGAATAGAGAATTAAACACATTTTATTGACATGACTAATTTCAAGGATAATGTTTAGTTTATTAGTAGCTTCTAGTAGTGTTTAAATATCAGTCAGAAGTTTGGATCATATTGTAGTTAAGTGGTATTTGTGAGTTTTAGTAAAAATTACATTGTTATTTACAGTAGCAATGATCCTTGAAATATTCTATATGCTTTTTATATTTGAGAAACAATGGAACGATATCAGTTTACTTACAAATGTGAGACTAATCGCTATTGATTTCCTAAGCAATTTTGATCAAAATAATGTTAAAATAGTTTATTCAGGTTCTTCTTTGGGCTTATCAACTTCTGGCATGTTGAAGTTATTAATCGTTCTATCCATTTATATCTGCAATTCATAGCGTTCTTCCTATCTTCTAGTAGATTCTGTAAGGCTTGAAACGTACTGCTGAAGGTTATCTTTGATTCGTTAAATTTGTTTACGTCTCGAAAGTGGATTGTAATAAACCCTTGTAGTATTGCTTGTTCAACTATCCAAAACTTCTTTGGCTACAGTTTTATTTTGACTACCTTTGGGTAGTGATCTTGCGCTAGATCAGCTCTTGTTTTTTATTACGTTTTGATAAATTTTCCGAACTTTTTACTTATACATATGTGATTCATCTACTTTTACATAGTGTGATCAAATGAAACTTAAGCACTTTTGCGATTACGTTCATGTGGTAGAATACTGCCACCTCAGATCATTTTCTTGAAAATGTGTAAGTTTACTAGTCTATGAGCTGGTAGGTAGCGTTATTGAGTCCAATGCATCATCAGCTTAACACTCAATCAATTTATTATAAATATTTACCAAAGAAAAGAGCTATAACCAAAGCTTGAAGTGTATCATCTTAATGAATGAAAAATAAATTCTTGAATAATAATAAAAACATTTCCGAGGTTTCAAATTAATTGGTAAAATATAGTTATAAACTAAAGAAAAACATATTTGTAAGTAATTAATTTAGTATTTGAGTGTTTGTTCTCGATGTAAGTGTATCGCATTTCAAATATGTGGAAATCCTCACAGTAAACGATCGTATATACATTTATTAATATGATAATTCAATATGAAAATTGATATCATGGCGAGACTCTGATTTATGGACGACCTTTGAACGAATCTTGAGTGACCTTGAAAAATATTGGCCAATCAGCAAACAGTCAGTATAGAGTAAAAATATATTATACAAAACCAAGGAAATAAAATGGATACACTTCTTATACATGGTTCAAAACTTGTCAAGGTTAGAAAGAGTTTCAGAGGTTCTAAAATCTCAATGCATGCAGTAGAAGAAATCATCCAAACGGCTACAGAATAGTCGGCCTCTGGAGTCATGATAACGTCTCAAAAACTCTTTCAGCCTAGACCACATAGCTTTAATATTGTTTATGTGCACTCCGGTTGTTGAGTGCACAAAATGCTACTTGTGAATAACGACACGATGCATATAACCAAGCCTGTGTAGGAGTCTGTACACTCTATAAACATCTATATGTATTGTAGCACCTGGCTGCAGCGAGTATTACTGGTACTTTTACTATCCAGTTCGCGGTAATTGTCGTAATTTGCCTTAGTTAGGAATTATATATGGGATTTTCATCACGAACTGACATCAGCTATAATGTCAGAAATTTATTTAGCCAAATGGATGAAAGGCTTTCGTATTAAAATCCGAGATCTATTATCTTATACCTGATTGATTCGTCCACAAATTATAGTCCCGCCGTTTTATTTCTTATAGCCACTCAGTTATCACGTTTTGTACAAAATTTCCCGTGAACCGATCGTAAGTTAGCATTATTCACTGAAGATGGCACCGTAACCTTGAAATCTCTAAAACGCTTCTGATTGGCTCGTCCATAAATTAGAGTCTCGTCGATATCACTTTAAAAGAATAAAAATAGATATAATTTGCTAAACCAAACTATAAATAATAATCCTAGATTTATAGTAGCATTAAGTATATTTTTATATCAATCACTTACTTACTTACGCTTGTTATCCCTCATAGAAGAGAATAGGCCACCCGACAGCATAATCCATCCAACTCTGTCCTGGACAATCCTTTCCAGTTGTTATTGATCCTTTTCATGTCTGCTTTCAATATACTTTCCTAGTGATGAGAAATTATTGAAAAGAAAATTCTTCGTTCATACAATTGTGTTTTATTATAATGAGAATTTTCCGGAGATTTCCTAGTGTAAATCATGAATATCTTTGATAACAGATGAAACCATCTGCAAAAGTTAACAATTTGTTGAATTTACCTGAGTGTTTTGTGACGATCTATGTAGTCAACAAAAAGGATAAAAAACTGTATGCTTTTAGATACCCACAACACTGGTCATCTGTTATTCGTTAAGAGATGGAAGTTAGAACATTAAGATCTATCGTATACATTTTTATGGAATGAATGGACTCAAAATAAGATTGTCTATGTAAACATATGTATACATATATTCTATTTTTGAAATTTTCACTTTTAAGTTATAAATGAACATTCGAACTAAACAGTTACATATCAAGTTAGTAGTTTAACTCTAAACTTAATGAGTGATAATCATTAAAATTTCTAATATTCATGTATAGGATATATGAACTATGTAGAAATTTGTCTGTCATAATGAATACAGTGTGACAAACATAAGTTTATCATCAACTAACGTACCCTCAATGAATCCAACGATTAATTTTGTATCTTTAACAATATTTGACTTGATAATTTCGAGTGAGTTATAATGTAATGATATATTCGTGTTTTTCTGATGAATGTAAATTAGAATCTCCAGAGTTTTCGAACGTCGTTCAAGTCGTTTCTTCAGAGAGTGAACAAATAACTGAATTTGATTATCAAAATAGTACAACAGTAAAACTGTTTTTTTAGTTAAAACTGAAGCCTGATTCAATTAAAATATTTAGTTAATAAACATATGTTTTCAATCAAAATCTTCCAAATATAAAATATTTATGTATCATAATTTTATTTATGGATAAACACTTGTATCATCGTCTTATTCTTACGGTATTTGCCATATTATTGATCACTACAAAAGTGTAATCTGTAGGATGCTTGTTTGTTCTCAGCTTTTACACTGCGATAATAATTAGTGGTTTTTCAAGCATCCAGAATATACACTTTAAGGTCCAGGTGGTTAGACTGTAAGCAATTTCTTTCCTGTTAGGAAATGATATTAAGGAAGGTTTCTGACTACCAACAGAATACAAGATGAAAATAGCAAATTTATGAATTTGATAAAATCATCCTAAAATATATTGCGCTGGAATTGAACACCTTTCAAGTACATAAGTAGTAACTGTTCGAGATATTATTCTGCTAAAGGTATGTAGTCATAATACTGGGAAATTATGTTTGTGGCTTCAAGAAGTCCTATTTCAGAAACCGAGGATATTATGACAAACGAGACCATTGACCTACCAAGAATGTCAATGTAATTCGGCAGTTCAGCAAACTAGGATGAATCTTTTAACATATGTACTGTTAATCGTTACTTGTGATCCATTTCCTATTAAATCAGTTAAATCCTAATTACATTTGTTAGTCCCATTTTTTCGTTCAGGGTTGACTTCCTCTCACAAGCATGATCGAACGATTTCAGTAATGCGCTCCGTTAACATTTATCTGGTTGTGATTTCGTTGCCTTGTCATTCTTCTAGAGGTTTCGTAATGCAATAAGGTAAATAATATCAACTCATTTGGATTTGAACCAGCCATTCTTTTCTTCACTCACTTGTTGCATATCTTTCAATTTATCATTTGAATTTTCGAATTTAGCTTCTGTATCAATCCTTTTGGTACTTGTTTTAGGGATATGGAATTTAAATCTCAGAGGTACAGCTTCAGTTTTCATTTGACCTAACTTCAGATTTGATAAACATTAATCACAGATGTCGTATACTTCACAAAAATCTCCTGAGAACGATCAACATACTTTACTTAAAAATGCAGTTGAAGATTTATAGTTGAAAGATTACTATCAGCTTGTTTCTCTAATAAGTACTGTTGTTTGGCGAAATGAGTTCACACTTAGTTGTTTTGATTTCCTGGGTGATAAATAGGTATAAGTGACCCATCATATCGATAACATTTATTCTGAAAAATGTCTATCTGAAAGTTTTACTACTAATAGTAGTGAGGATGAACAATCAATTTTTGATGTAAACTCCCTCTTTACAAATGTATCTTTAAAAAGACTATATGGAAAGATTATCTCATATATTCGAATAATCTTGGATGACCTATTCTTTTAGAAATTCTTAGAGATTTATTACTAATATACACCGACATAGTTGAGTTCTTAATTCATTGTGAAAATGTCTAACAGATTGGTAGGGCTTCTATGAGTAGTCCTTTAGGATCATTATTAGGTGATGCGCTAGTCATATGTCGAAATTTAGCTAAGGGACTAATTGAAGACCGAAATTATTTATTAATTAAACTTGGCATTTTAAAACCACAATCAATTAATTTAAAGAGGAGAGAAACAACCACCTTCCCTTTTTAGAGATAGTTCAACCAAAAA